AGCCAACCTGTATTGACGAAAAATGCAAACTTGGTTATCGAAGACTAATAAGTGATGTGGCACAGGAATCTTAAAGCCTTGTTAGCATGAGCGTCATGCAGTGTACACCCGTAAGATGGTTGTGTTTGCTGCATGAGGGTGCACCGGTATTCTATACATCCCGTGGCAGGCGGTCCTATTCATGTCAAATGGGATGCAGCGGCTACACGAACACTAAATAGAGCAAAATAAAACAGAGGACGCACCGGTCTTGTGCATTACCTTTAAAAGTATGTTTATTACATTTAAAAGAAGGTATTCTAATCACAAAAGTACATGAATATAAGCACATCATATGAGACCGATCTCATCACCTTTCAGAAACGCAGTGCGAATTGGACAGAGCGGTCTCATACTATGATGTGCTTATATTCAGAGCGGGTCTCATATGTACTGTACTTTTGTGAGTAGAATACCAGCTTTTAAATTTAATACACATACTATTAAAAAAGGTAATGCACAAGGACTGTGATCCCAGTTTTGTTTTTCTCCATTTAGTACTTTTGGACTCCCCGGTTCTTTGAGGGCAGCAAGGCGTGCTTATTCCAAGACACTTGTGTGATCCCTATGACAGGGTCCATGCCTAAGTGCAGGAGTATTTGGGTTTTCCACTTTCACACAGCTGCACGAACACAGCTGCTGCACCCAATCTGACATCCGTGCGGGTACACAGCCCCAAATGCACACTGACTGCGTTCAGTGCCGTGCACCCACACAGGTGTCAAATGGGAGCAGCAACTATGCCTGGGCAGCTGTTGCATCCCAACTTTCATGAATGGAACTGTCTGCACGAAGATGGACAGAACACGTGCACAGGTAAACACAGGCCTTGCACGGCCCTATGCTGTAGTATGTCCACGTGAACAAGGCCTAATAGAAACCAATTCCTCTCAGTGGAAACTGCTTGTCAAATCAGCAATATGTACAAAAACGGCTACAATGGATTTACTTAGTAAGGCAATACAGCGAGCAATGATGTGTACAGTGCAGTAACCTACACAAAAAACAGGTTTCAAGAGTAGTTTCAACAGAAATTGAAGGCTGGTTTGTTGCTATGGGTTACTGCCATTGGCAGTTTTTTTTAACCATGTTAAATAGGCCCGACTATGAAACAAAGAATCCACAGGCATCGTCAATCAAAGAAATCATCTGAGGCATGTTTACGGATACAACAGTACTTTCTAGGCACAGCATGAGCACACAGCAACCCCGTACCCGCCAAAGAACTAGGATCACAAGAAAGCCTCACATTCCAGGTACCGCTAGTTCTTTAGCAGCTAAAGCACTGCATTGCCAACGATCGCTCTAGGGAGCCTGCTGTTATGTTGTCATTATCAAACCAATCATTTCACAATTACAAAAATATAGGGAGTTAAGGCTCAAACAGCTGGACAATTAACACAACAGGTAGCAGTTAAAAAATATAGTAAAACAGACCCTTGTAACAGCATTTTGATAAGTTTTTAAAGGATATTGCTTAAAATTAATCACAGGTCACTCTTTTTTTTTTGCACAATTGCATATTCAATAAAGCACAAAAGGAAAAGTTGCATATAAATATCATTGCAGTATGAAAAAAGGGATAAGAAAGCCCCAACCCCACTCAAGACATCACAAAAGACTGCAAAACACAGTGGACAATCTTCACCGATTAATAGGCTCAATTATGAAGCATTGGAAAAAAAAAAACATGGTGCATAGAACAGGATGACCCTCTAAGGAGATGCCGCTACCCCTCCCCCCCCTCCAATTTTTTTTTTTAGCAAGTTCCTTAAAAAATTGCATCATACTCCGTGTCCTACCTTCATCCATTAAAACACAGCAGCCACCATTATGCATGCCAAAGACGGGTCGTTTGTCGGCCGAATTTCTGTCCGCACGAAAAAATCGGCCGATAATCACGATGTTAGTGGGGCCAGTCCGTCGGCCGTTTTTCGCGGATCTTCTCATTTATTTTTATCGGTCATGTTGGAAAATTACTGCCAGCAACTACCGATTTTTCGTTTATCGGCTGAAAATTCGGCCGATAAACGACCAGTCTATGGCCTGCCTTAGTCCCGCCAGCATTAGACACTCAGGAGTGTCAGATGTGTTTCCCCTGCTGTATGCTGTGGTTCTTTCCATTGACCCCTACCATCACAGCTGTGACCTGCAGTAATAAAGGGGCTGGAGGGTGAAACCACAGCACGCAACAGGGGACACAGGCATACAACACCACTGAAACTGCGCAATGCTAAAAACCTGACAGAGACTGCAGCATTTCAACAGTTAAAGACAGGAAACACTGGGAATCAAGTATGATATGATACCTCTTTTCTTCAGGAACTCACTATTACACATTTTTCTGGCAGGATGACAGCATCCTTTTAAAATTCCTCTAATTTATTTGCCCTTGCTGTGAGCACCAATTTGTTGCTATAAAAGTGCCACTATGGAAACATGATTAAAGTATTTAAACCCCCCCCAAAAAAAAAATCAAAAACGTGGTGGCTGAATACGTTTATCCAGGCTTTTTTCACTCGGTGATCCTTCCAGTAAAACACTTTGTGTCCTGAATGCCAGCGCTGGATCACTCACCAATGCCTCTATGAAAGTGCAATGCTTTCAAAAACCAGGACACAAAGTGCATTGAGACTAAAAAAACCCCACCATTTCTTTTCTAGTTCTATATTCCACAAAGGTATCCTGGGCAGGAAGAGAAGACTGTTTGAAACAACAATGCAGAGGGCACCATGATTCTGGCAGGACTGACTTTTTTTTTTTGTTTTTTCAAACAGGTATAACAAAACACTTTCAATAATATATTTAACAGCCCAAAGAAGCAAATAGAAGTTCATTGTAAGGGTTTACATACACTTTAAAATATTTGGGATATTAGAATTGGTGGAAAGTGTTTTTTTTATTGTTTGTACATATTTATCACAAATTTTATTTGTGATTTTGGTATGTGCCCACCAAATGCCAACAACCCCCACTAGCACAAAAGTTATTAGGTTCAAAATTAAAAATCCCCTCAAGAAACAAAAAAAATGAAGACATGGTCATCACGACTACCTAAAATGTCCAACTAGAGAGCCCTGCTTTGCAGTGTTATACAAGCCATCCATGGGCAAAGTAATTCAGGAAAGTTTGCATCCATTCATTGCCGGTGGTCCTGTAGGAAGTTACTAATGCAGATTCCTACAGGTCGCATTGACAGTGCAAGGGTAGTTGGCCCAGTAAATCTAAAACACAAGGTACCTTATGAAGAAGGTTATAAAAAAATAGAAATTTTTATTTAAAATATTTTTAGTTAAAAATGTATCTTCTCATTAAACATAGAACTCCAGTTTGAAGTAATATTTTTATATTCCCACCTCCATCCTTCCCGTGCAGCTTTCTGCCCCTAATCGAAAATTTATCTGAAGATCTGATATATTTATCTGAAAGAAAAAAAAAAAGGGGGGGGGGGGGGGGGTGGTGCCATAAGAATCAATGCTTTTTTTTTTCATTGGCCTTGGGAGGAGTCAGGTGGAGCCAGCCAGCGATCACTGCAGTACATGGTTAAATATTTCACCCAAAAAGTGAAAGCACACTGCTCCACAACCTTCTCATCCAGATGACACTGACTCTATGAAAGTTGTGTGCACCACAAAGAACACAGCACCACTGTTTGACACCCCCCTGAAGCTCAGTGGGTAGGCCTATGATGGTTAACAGGTCTTGTAGGAAACTGGGCATCACACAGACTGGAAATGTGCCTGATGGGATGCCCTCCAAAAAAAATTTAGAGATGGAGAAAATTAAAAGCGCAACACACAGGCAGAAGGGACAGGAAAAGGCGAGGCTGGAGTTCTGGTTTCATGATGCATTAGCATGCTCTGCAATTATATTCTAGAGGGCCTTACTTTGCTCCATTACTTAACAGAAAGTTTGCACATCAAAATAGAATTCACGTCTCATAGCAGGTTTATCTGGTCTGATCATTTCCCTAAATTTGTACACAAAATTTTACATGAGCCAACTTGTATTGTAGGTTTACTGGTCCATAAAAAAAACAAACAAAAGAAAAACAAAAAACAAAATTTTGCCTAAGTACATAGAGATATGTCGATAGAAATATGATGCTCTGTGTAAATAAAATAAATAGCATTGTTAACTCACATTAATACTGCTAAAATAGAATTCTTCTGTACATTAGCTTAACCTGATTGTACTGTTTTTCATTGCCACAGACCCGTATTGGTATGCAACTTTGGACAAGTTTTGAGCCCAGCCAGCATTAAAATTAAAAAAAAAAAAAAAAATTGCTTTCACAGAGGTTTCTGAATGGCACACTGAAAAAAAGAAAAAAAAAAAATCCTAACTTATTAAAAATGAATACTATGATATTCAAAAAACTTATTCACCTTTGACCTCCACAGCTCTCTCAGATTAGTTACATACATATTTTATGCACTAGAATATTTGACACAATTTTAAGAGGAAAATAAGTTTTTGTTGTATAATAAAACATCTCAAAATCACTTAAAATATTTAAGGCTTTACAATTTGGAGAAAATGCCTTTTTCTTCAGATTTCAGGCCATGACGTTTCGTCAAACCATTCAAAATGGAACTTCCGACCGAAAAAAATGAAGAGTTTCATAGCGTTTCTTAAAAGCCCTGAGTGAACGTTTGTTCAGATTGTATTTGAAGAGGGTTATTCTGTAAACGCATATGTATTTTTACAAATCTCATTCCAAAAATATTGCAGGTTTGCAGATCGAGAGAAAAAGAAAAAAAAAAAGAAAAAAGGGGGGGGGGGGGGGCGGGGTCTGGACGGAAGGCTGGTAAGTGATCGAGGGAGAATAACGATGGGGTTGTGGGTGGTAGATTGCACTTGGATGTCACTGTAGTGCAGACTACAATACAAATAAGTGCAGCTGGTCTGGCGTGAATCCTCCTTGGTTAGTGCCTCTAAGATCTGGGAACCAGCACCAGTTAAGCAAAGTACATTGTACGCAGTGTGTCCTGGTGAACCTGAATTGCCTTAGCAAGTGCTTGGTGGTCTCTCCCGTTGCTCTGACCGGAAGTGTGACTGCCTTCAGCGCTGCAAGACAAAATACATACTTTAGTATTAGCTCAACTATAAAAAGACGACTGCAAAACGCTGCATTAACGATAGGCTGATGGGAGTAGACGGAAGCAGCAAGGAATCGAACCTCTGAAGAGGAAAACTGAACTTTTATTATGTTATTTTTATTTATCTTTAAGGGGGAAGTGGTAACAGAATTCCCTTTCCTGCAGGGCTCGGAAAGGCCCAGAGTGATTTGATTAGGGTGGAAAGCACTAGAGCTAAATCCAGCACATTGCAGCAATATTTACACAGGAGATTCAATCCTTAAAAAAGGGGGCTTTTACACAGAAACTTGGATTTCAAATGCAGACAAATATTTGCATCCTACAACATCAATTTCTTTTTTGTATTACTTTTATTTTTGCCTCAAAGTAATATTAAAGTGTTACTAAACCCAGGACCCTATCCACTATGTCCGGTCTCTCCCCGGACCCTGCATCCACTATGTCGGGTCTCCCCGGACCCTGCATCCACTATGTCGGGTCTCCCCGGACCCTGCATCCACTATGTCGGGTCTCCCCGGGTGCATCCACTATGTCGGGTCTCCCCGGACCCTGCATCCACTATGTCCTGTCTCCCCGGACCCTGCATTCACTATATCCGGACCCTGCATTCACTATATCCGGTCTCCCCGGACCCTGCATTCACTATATCCGGTCTCCCCGGACCCTGCATTCACTATATCCGGTCTCCCCGGACCCTGCATCACTATATCCGGTCTCTCCCCGGACCCTGCATTCACTATAACCGGTCTCCCCGGACCCTGCATTCACTATAACCGGTCTCCCCGGACCCTGCATTCACTATATCCGGTCTCCCCGGACCCTGCATTCACTATATCCGGTCTCCCCGGACCCTGCATTCACTATATCCGGTCTCCCCGGACCCTGCATTCACTATATCTGGTCCCCCAAAGTACACATAACATAGACATGCTAATATTTTAATGAATAAACTGCTAAAATACCTTTTTTCATCAGCAGTTCGAGCAGTCTTAACTTCATGAGAGCACTGGTTAAAGCTTGAAGCAGGTGTTTTCTTTCTTCTCTAGGACGCAAAACCCCTGACCTCTGTTTGGGCAGTACCGATTGGCCCTGTGCTGATAACATGCACCCTCCCAAGAAAAAAAAAAAAACCCTCTCTAGCAATACACACCAAACTGAGCATGTGGCTACAGGTTCAGTCTGTCTTATCAGGAGATAAGACATGGACATTTGAACAAGAGGAGGGGCAGAGAAGACAGGATCAAACAGCCTTTTTACACAATGCAGAAGATTAACCCCTTAGACTCCACAGTGAGTGTAACAAGCATGCTTTACTGCATATACAGACTGATTTCACTGTTGTGGGTTTAGTAACACTTTAAACTCAAAAAACAAAAATGTAATACATTGCAGCTTACTAATCCGTAATAATGGTGACAGTTTTTTTTTTTTGGTCTTTTCTATTATTTTCACCTGGTGATTCTACTAGTAGCACACTTGTTTTAGGGTGTCTGCACTCTGGATAGAGGAGCATCGGAGACACCCTTGGACAGAAGAATACTGAAGATAGGGAGAGGGTAGCACTAGCAGATATAGGAGGACTTGGCTAACAGATTCAATGTAACAGCAACAGGCCTTGCTCACACCATGATGCAGAGATGTTAGCTAATCTGCACATGTTCAGCAAATGCGCACACACAAAAAAAACAAAAAGCAACAAAATAGTTCTCTATGTGCCCTGTTCACACCACAACACTAATGTCACATGCAGATTTTTTTCTGTGAAGGAATCTGCAATATGTATAAAAAACTCACTGAACCGTGCATGAAAACTGATGTAAACTCGCGTCTCTGCAAGTGAAGTCTGCGTAGGATTCCGATCTGTTTTTATGCACAGTGTGAACGAGGCCTTAAACAGATAAATTAGAGCTGACTATTGTAAGTTTGCCTGTCAGTGTTAAATGGTTTGTCTGAACACTGACACTTTTGCAGGAGAGCTTGGTTTGTTAAAAGAAGCTGAAAAATAGACTTAAGCCTCATACACATGAATCAAAATTCATTTGGTCCCAAATTCTGAATATTGATCCATGTATGGGCAACCCTGGTTGTACACAAGTCGATCCATCAACTTGTTGGGTTTTTACAAAACGATTAGTGCTGCCTGCAACACGAATTGTATTCTGTTGGCAGGGAAGTCTCCACACCAACAGAACACAAAAGTGCTGCAGGAGGGATTCCACCATCAAAAGTGTTCACAGGACAATTAAGAAATTTTCCTTCCTTCCACCCATGCTGGAAGTTAAGAAAATGGTATAATCTATAGCCTGCCTTACTGGCAGAATGACCAGGTGAAAAAAAAAAGGAAGCAGCCAATGCAGCTACCACATCTAAGAACAGGTATGCTACAATATACTTTTTGTTTTTGTGTTTTACAACCACTTTAAGTGAACTTTAAACTGGGCAGAGATGAATGAACTGTACCAAAATCATAATCTAAAATAAGTTATTGCATCTTAAAATATTCTGCAACTAAATTTATATCCAGCCATTGGAAAACGGACATTTTTGTAGGAGCCAGCACATTATTTTTAGTGCAGATGGCATGTTCTATGTCAAACAAGTCTATAAACATCCCTATAACAACCCATATTCTTTACATCTAAGGAGCCTGGACATACCAGGGAAAATAAATGATTTGTCATGTTACCCAATTACCTTCTTTAAAAACGCATTGAAACAGATCGTGCACACTACATAAAGTCAAATCACTATTAGAGGTGCCATAAAATGTACTGGCCAGGCTTCCAGGTTTGCTAGTAGATCCCTCTAGGACCCTGGTGCCCAACATTTGGCCATAGTCTGCGCTGTGTTTACCCCGAAATCTCTTCAATAATCTCCAGTTGCCAATAAATACTTTGGATGTTCTGGATGACATTTGGTTTTACTGTGTGAGCTTCAAACACTTGGGTCATTAAATTAACAATTGAACCTGTGAAAAGATCACCATCATGACAGAACCGACTATATCTCCTTTTAACAAGCTAATGCTTTACGCAAGTATATTTCTTGGATGTTTTAGGATGTATTGTACCATTACTACTTTTGGATAAAAGCTTGTGTCCTACACCCACTCGAGGCCTCTCATATTTACCAAGCCGACTACCACCGCTCCAGAAAGTCAGTAGATGGGGACCCTGTATAGCAGCGGCTGAGAGTGCTGTAACAAGGCAGACTTCCCACAATATATTGTGACCAACAGGGTGGAGGACAATCCAGCAATTAACAACAGCATTCCATATAAAACATACCTGTCATGCTCTTTATCCACAAGGTGATACCGGGCTCTAAATGCGACTAAGTGTGCGTAGTAGGCAGGGGCGGGGATAGACACAGATCGAGTGCATCGGACATAAGTGTGACAGAGCTGGTAAGTGAGGATTTGCAGCTCATCGGAAGAAAACCTGTTGTCATCCCAAAGGACATGGTAATGGGAGGGCCTGCTTGTTCCCTGAAAAAGTAACAGGAATGTGAAACAACTATTGTAAAAGCATAGCGTATATTTAAAAAAAAAAAAACAAAACAAAAAAAAAAAACAAACTATTGATCCATTCTGTACTTCAAGCATACCATACATTTAGATATACAGGGACGAAGAAATAAAAAAAAAAAAAAAAAAAAAAAAAAAAAAAAAGGACAAAAATACAAGTGTCTTGCCTATTATCCACCAATGGATTAGCCACTATAAAAGCAACAAAAAAGATCTTCGTTTTCTCTCTGGTTAGAATGGGGAGCAAAAACAAACAGTTGAAGTGGTAAAGAACTCAAAATGCTTAAAAACCACTGACGGGCAGAGTTTTTACACCAGAAGAGACCCTAGTGGTCTTTTGTCATAAATGTCTTCCCATGTGTCAGTGGTAAAGTGATCTGATCAGACCAAATTTACGGCACCATCTGTAGATGGCAATTGGCACTGTGTGTGGGTGTGTGCGAGACTTCCATTTTACTCCTTTCAGCCTGATGTAATAGACTAGATTCTGATTATATCAACAACACATTCATGCAGTTCTGTCCTTCCTCATTTCTTAAAGCAGGAATTGGCAAAGCTGGGATCTTTTGTTTTTTGGAGAGGTGGGTGGGCCGTCTCATTCATGTGTTGCCAAGAGAAAAGAAGAGACTGGTGGGCAGAGACACTTCTGAGTGACACAAAAAATTGTCACACTAAAGTCTATATTCAAGCATCTCCCCAACTCCTTGGTCTCCATCAGAAAGCTTAGAGGCCAAGGAGGAGAAATGTGAAAACCACTTTTTTTTTTAATTTATTTTTTATTTAAGAAGACTGCATAACGAGCACAAGGGTAGTGTCAGAAGGAGTAAAATGATAGAAGTAATCTGGGGTTGGTTAAAAAAAACAAAAAACAAAAACCAGGAAACTGACAGACCAACATGTGCAAAAAATGCATCCCATAATACTGTCCAGTTGTCAGTCACTGAGCGCATTCTACTTACCATGTAAAGGAAACATCTTATAAAGGTCAATGGTTCACGCACACTTAATTGCCTAAAGTTTTGGCCGCCTGCCTTTACACGCACATGAACTTTAATGGCCTCCCAGTCTTAGTCCGTAGGGTTCAATATTGAGTTGGCCCCGCCCTTTGCAGCTATAACAGCTTCAACTCTTCTGGGAAGGCCGTCCACAAGGTTTAGGAGGGTGTCTATGGGAAGGTTGGACCATTCTTCCAGAAGCACATTTGTCAGGTCAGGCACTGATGTCGGGGGAGGAGGCCTGGCTCACAGTCTCCGCTCTAATTCATCCCAAAGGTGTTCTATGGGGTTGAGGTCAGGACTCTGTGCAGGCCAGTCAAGTTCCTCCACCCCAAACTGGCTCTCCTCCATGTCTGTATGGACCTTGCTTTGTGCACTGGTGTGCAGTCATGTTGGAAAAGGAAGGGGCATCCCTAAACTCTTCCCACAAAGTTGGGAGCATGAAATAGTACAAAACATCTTGGTATGCTGACACCCTAAGAGTTCCCTTCACTGGAACTAGGGGGCCAAGCCCAACCCCTGAAAAACCACCCCACAACATAATTCCTCCCCCCCCCCCCTCCTCCACCAAACTTTACACTTGGCCCAATGCAGTCAGGCAAGTACCGTTCTCCTGGCAACCGCCAGACACGTCTACTGGATTGCCAGACAGAAGTGTGATTGGTCACTCCAGAGAACACATCTACTCTGCTCTAGAGTCCAGTGGTGCCGTGCTTTACGCCACAGCATCCGATGCTTTGCATTGCACTTGGTGATGGAAGGCTTGGATACAGCTGCTTGGCCATGGAAACCCATTTCAGGAAGCTCTCTACGCACTGTTGTGCTAATCTGAAGGCCACATGAAGTTTGGAGGTCTTTAGACAGTTGGCGACTTCTGTGCATATCAGCATGCGTTGACACCGCTCTATGATTTATTGTGGTTAAGTTGCTGCTGTTCTGCGCACTGTGCGCTTCAGCATGCGCTGACCCCACTCTGTCATGTGACGTGGCCTACCACTTGGTGGCTGAGTTGCTGTTGTTCCCAGTTGCTTCCACTTTGTTATAATCCCAGAGCGTGGAATATTTAGTAGCCAGGAAATGTCACGGATGGACTTATTGCACAGGTGACAACCTATCACAGGACCACGCTTTGAGTCACTGAGCTCCTGAGAGTGACCAATTCTTTCACAAATGTTAGTAGAAGCAGTCTGCATGCCTAGGGGCTTGATTTTTCTAAACCTGTGGCCACTGAGGTGATTGGAACACCTGAATCCAATGGATTTGGAGGGGTGCCCAGTACTTTTGCCAAAATAGTGTATGTCCCTACATGATTGCCAATACAGCACATAATGAAAATGTAAAACTTTATACCACCATACAGCAATATGTAAACCATACCTGAATACCAGCATGGCTGCACAGGTAAAAATCAAACTCTGATGGGTGGGTGATTTTTGTGTCCACTGTTGTACCAGCTGGAATATTTCCACTCTTCCCAACCTGAAAAGGGAAAATGCAGGATAAGTGACAAGAGATATTAAGGTTCACCTTCCAACCACCTCCCTATTACAGGCACAGCCAGGGAAAGTAAACATTCAAGTTGTTCTTACCCGCTCATTCCTGTCCGTGCAAAAAAGTCGTGTGTGATGTCTTTTCTGTACGACAATGAAAGTAATGCCAGGCTGGTAATCCTTTTCCAACTTGATACAGGCCTCCCTAATTGCCAGAAGCTCATGATGTAATACCTGTTTTATATACACAAGGTAAAAGAAATCAGATAACAGTGACTTTGTTTTGACCATCTTCCTCTGCTCTTTTCTATCCAGAAGATACATCCTACCTGCTGGAACTGTCCTTCAGAAACCCCATCCCTGTAGAAAATGATCCTTGTGGGCTTGAAACGCGTTGACTTGTAGAATTGGATAAGCAGTTCTCGGACCATGGCAGCCAAGTCTTGGATGATCTCCTGACGGTGTTGTTGTACTCTTACGGTGGCACAATAGCGGTTTGGGTGTGCATCCATGCTACCTACAACCTGAGCAAGGATGAAAAAAAAAAAAAAATGCACGCTTGTAACTCAGATCTCTGATCACTTGCATTATATAATAATGTGAATACCCGAACATCACACCTGCTATATGGCTGAATGTATATAGGCACCCTTCGAATGACTGAGTTCAAGTGCTTCCAGTAAAAGGTACTGTTGATGTCATAGCATACAAAAACATTTTAGAGACTTGCTAACTTCTAACCTTGCAGCAGCAGTTTGGGGACATCCCTTTATTGTTCCATCATAACTACGCCCCTGGGAACACATCCAGCTTTTGACAAATTTGGTGTGGAGGAAAACAAACCGCCTGCGTTAAGGCCTGACAATCTTTGCGGTGAATTGAAATGCAGATTATGAGGAAGGCCTGCTCCTCCAACAACATTATCTGACCTCACAAATACAGTTTTGGAAGGATTGGGCATAATTTCCCACAGACAATCCAAATTCTTGAAATAAATGCCTTTACAGTAGACTACAGCCTACAAGTACTAAAAACTGATGGGGGTTGGTCAAATACATGTCAATTGTGGACTGTTGACTTTTGTACTCTGGAGCTTCCTGGGAATTGACCTCAGCAAAACATAAAACGGAACTCCACCTAAAAGGACCAATCAAAGTGAGCAGCGCAGCGCATGCATGCAACTAGGCACCTGGCTGCGAAGCAGCAAGCTGTCACAGCCGTGTGTCCACAGCCAAGATGCCAGCATCGGGGACCAAAGACAAAACACGATGCCCCCTCGGGTGAGCACACACTGCTGGATCCGGGGACAGGTAAGTGTGTTTATTAAAAGTCAACAGCTAAAGTTTTTGTCGCTGCTGACTTAATTTCTACAAAAACGACTAGAGCGCCACACGCAACTTTCATAAGGGTGGAAGGAAAAAACAAAAAACTTCCAACTGCTATTGTACCTAAAGATCTTCAATCTGCGCAACACAATGCACCTATACTTTCTAGGAGGTTGGGGGCTGTCTGATGTCCTCAACACCTACATTCAAGAGACAAGAAAAAAGCTAAACAAAATAGCTGCCTCTGCTCTACACGCAGTGGAAGAATGCACACCGAATCTCTCTAGCTATGGATGCTTTTGCTTGGTTTTTTATGGGATAACTGGACAATGAGATAAATCTACATGTACATGGAGTGGTTTGTGTCTGTGACCAACAACACAAATACAAAAACTGTTTACTATAAAATGTGTAAAAAGTCCAGTAACTTACTGCTGCAATCGATGGCTTTTTTCCATCCCCTGCAGGAGGATGAGTAACATCTGCTCCAAGGAATATAACCGGCTGCTGAAAGACTGGAGGCCTGAGAGGAAAAAAAATGGCGATGTTTTTTATGTATTCATCATAACTTAGATACTCAAAATCCTGCATATAAAGTATCAACTACAAATCATAAGGACGTTGGACATATAACGACTGTTTTCTTTGGCAGTATCTTACCTGCCCTGGGGTAACAGTATGTTATTAACGCCTCCTAACTTGACATTGATCTTCAGGCAGAGGTTTGACAGTGTCTGCGGAGTAGTCCTCTGTACATTTTTCATCTGCACACACTGCGTCGCCATGCCCAGCACAGTGTCTCCCACACGTTTTACCTCCGCTAAACAAAAAATAAACAAAACATTTTTAAAAACTGTGTGAAGATATCGATTCTCACTGAACAGTCAACTAGTCACTGAAGGATATCACTGTTATAGCTGTTGGTAATTTATATTAATCTATTTATATCCTCTGGTCAGATATAGAACAGCCAGGAAAAAAGAAAATATTGTGTTCTACTTCCTGCAGTGCTACACAATGGTTGTGCTTTAATGCTCTGCGTCACACAACGCAAATCTAAGAGGCTGGAAACCCATTTAAAAAATGTGATCTGAGTGCAGATGAAACATTATCTTAAGAGTCTGGGTAAGAGACAGACAGACAGAATGACCACTGACAGGTGAACTGAACATGGATTATCTCATTCTACCTGAAAGTGGGTGAGAAATTTTAGGCAGCAAGTGAACATATTGTCCCCAAAGTTGATGTTTTAAAAGTGGGAAAAAAAAAAAAAAAATGGGCAAGCGTAAAGATTTGAGGGACTCTGACCAGGGCCAAATAGATGACTGTGTCAATGCAACACCAAAGCTGCAGCTTTTGTGGGATGTTACCGGTCTGTGGTCCGGACCGATCAAAAGTGGTCCAAGGAAAGAAAAATCAGGGAACTGGTGACAGGGTCATGAGTGGCCAATGCTCTTTGATGCACGTGAGTAATGAAGGCTGGCCCATGTAGTCCAATAGAAAAGCTACTGTAGCTAAAACTGCTGAAAGAGTTAATGCTGGTTCCGATAGAAAGGTGTCGGAACCCAGAGCATTCCAGTTTGTTGTGTATGGGGCTGCGTAGCCACAGACCAGTCAGGGTGTCTATTCTGACTTATGTCCACAGGCAAATGTGTCTACAAATGACACATGAGCATCAGAACTGGACCATGGAAGAAAGTGTCTAAGGTGTTGGCTTGGCCTCCAAGTTCTCCAGATATCAATCCAATACAGCATCTGTGAGATGTGCTGGAAAAGCAAGTTTCCTACCTATACTGCATGACCAGCTCTCTACTTTGCCTTCTAACTCTTCACCCTGTATTCAAAGACCAGTTGTGATGGCACTCCTGACCAAATAAAACACTGTATGTATGGATAGTAAATGCAATGTGTTTTAGTCGGCAAGCAAAAAGATGTATGCCAGCACGCCTGCTTAACCACTTGCCTACCGGGCACTTCTACCCCCCTTCCTGCCCAGGCCAATTTTCAACTTTCAGCGCTGCCGCACTTTGAATGACAATTGTGCAGTCATGCAACACTGTACCTATATGAATTTATAATTTTTTCCCCACACAAAATAGAGCTGGTGGTATTTAAGCACCACTGGGGGTTTTATTTTTTGTGCTATAAACAAAACAAGAAAAAAACATTTGAAAGAAAAAAGAAAAGTATTTCTTTGTTTCTATTATAAAATTTTGCAAACAGGTAATTTTTCTCCTTCGCTGATGTGCGTTGAGGCGGCACTGATGGTTAGCACTGCAGGGCACAGGTGTGCACTGATCATCAGGGTACTAATAAGTGCCCTGATTGGCAATTGTCAGAAGTTATCTGCACTGATCGTTATTAGCATTACTTTCCTCACGCTGTGACAGCGTGATGAAAGTGCAGCCGATAACCGGCAGCTGTATTTACTCAGTGATCTGCTGTGTCATTGGACACAGCTGATCACGTGGTAAAAGGTCGCTGTGATTGGCCGTTTACCATATCACGTGATCAGCTGCGTCCGTAGGACACATTGATCACTGGCAGCGCACCGCTGGGTGTGCGTAGAGGACGTGTTCTGGAATGACGTCCATAGACGCCATCCCAGAACTAGATAACCGCACTGTAGCCGTCTTTTGGCTATAGCACGGTAGGGAAGAGGCTGGTGTACAAGCAATGTGCATCCACAACTGAATTCCCTCTTTTTAGTATTCTATTATGTTGCTGTTAAACTCTAAGGGTTACCAAGATGTGGGTTGAAATTGGAGAGAGATGAACCAAAAAAGGTGGTGTCAGTTTTTTGTACTTTCATGATTTATAACCAACAGCTATTCATTATATAGTTTTGCAAAATCTCCAGAGTAGACACAAACCAGAATGACAGACAAATCACGGTAGAATATGAATTCAAATGTGCGACGTGGCCCGGTGATCTGCACCAATTAAATATCACTTTGGGTAAACTGAACCTTTAACTAGGAAATGCAAGTTTTGCATACAGACTTTGCTTGGGATTTCCTATGCCATGTCAGAGGCAGGCCAAGACAAAAGTGGATGAGGCAAGCATGGACTTACCATATACAGGGGTCTTCCCAGGGAGAATTACAACAATCAGCTGTAAGCCAGTATAGGTGTTCTTCAGATGCCTGAACATGGGCTCCACGCTATCTGCCCCTTGGGCGTATTTGCAAAAACATGGCTGCCCCTGAATGGGCATTCCCGCATCACGGGAGATCTTACGCAACTGTTCAGTGAACGTTCTAAAGAAATAGAAAATGTTTTATGAAAAGTGGTATGCAAAAAGGAAAAAAAAAAAACAGTACACCAAGCAACAAAATTACCAGAAGATTAACTGGAAAGTCACCCTATGTTCACATCTGTGCAGGTGATGCTGCTGCAGATCCGCACAAAAGTCCGTGCAGCTGCACCACCCCCCACAGAGGAATGCGGGCCCGTGCCTTAGTTCTAACGGCACGCCGCCCTAACTGGAAAACACAACCGTACTGGGAACTGAGGTTCCCATGCGGGCTGCGCTTTCCAAACAAGTGCAGGGACTTCTTCCCTACATGTCACGGGAGTCCATTCAAATGAATGAGCTCTCGTGGCCGTGCAAAACGCAGCCCGCACATATGTGAACCGGGTTCAGGCTTTAAAAATTTCTCTGTATTGTAAACTGTTTTGACTATTGAATTTATCCTAAATTGAGGTTAAATTTTTACTCGTTAAAATAAACCCCAGGCAGTTTTAATATATAAATTACAAATAATTAAATAAGCACCTCAGTCTGCAATACTCCCCTTCAAATGGGGAACTGTCCCCTGGAGTACCTCCTCTTTGCTACAAGATGTTCCCCAGTCTCCTGAGTTGAATTACACCCAGTGTCACTAAACCTGGATAACCGAGTACATACTGTGAGTACAGGGCATCATGGCCCCATCTTGACGGGGGTTACCAAAAGACCTTCCATTCAGTAATTTCAGCATTCACCTCTGCATCAGTGAGGACCGCACAAAACCAGAGAAGAGGTGAGAAGGTAGAGGACCCTACTGTATCAAATGACCATCCTGGAAACTTTGGGAAGGTTATTTAAAAACAAGCCAGTGTTGGTGTGGACTAAAGACCGGTTTTTGGCTTTGACAACCATAAGGCATACAGGAGGAGAACAAAGACTTACTTGAGGTGAAGTTCTGTACATTGTCGCTGAGGAGCAAAGCAAGCTATCGCCCACACTTTAATTTCAATGCCAGTGTGGAACTGTTTGTTCCTCATATCCCAAACACCTTGGACAGGGGTGGCAATGGCCTTATTCTGAAAAAGAAAACAGAAAATCCTGATTTGCTTCGAAGAGAATAACCACCAAGCACAACCAAGCTCCCATTCCCAACCTTGTTTCACAGCCACAGCACTACAAATCCAGCGCATAAACTATACAAATAGATAAAAACTTCTTCAAAATGTCTTCCCCCAACCTTAGAGTTGTCAACGACCACCAAAATAGAGTAAATCAATTGGAACATTAGATGTGTTTTTAGGATGGTTTTACACTGCTGTGTGTTTTGGCCACAGCAAAGGTGTATCAGCGGTTTTCATGCGGTTTATCCGCTGTTTCCCATTGACTCTTAGATTGTGCATTTTTGGTGCATTTTATGAAAGCGCACCAAGCATGCTGCATCTTTGCTGCATCAGAAAATGCGCAAACTAACAAATTCTATGGGAATCCCGTGGGTTAACCACAAAAATAAAAATTCTCTGATACACCTGTGCTGTGGCTAAACTGCTGCACAGCAGTGCGAAATTGGCCCTAATACTATCCAGACTCATTTAACATCATAATTGGGGCATTTTACAAATCCCCTTGTTTACATGCAACCTGGGACTTTTGCACAGATGGTCTGCGTTCAGGAAGATACTTAATGGTCAAATACTAAAGAGGAACAGACAATGCAGTCCGTCATAACACTGAAAGTGCACCAGGTGGTTATAATGAACCAGACACTCCCATGTAGGAATCAGTCTGGGAAGGACAAGTTAAACAATTCCCATTGGCAGTAACTGTATGAAGCTCTTGCCTGAAATTAAAAAGGTCTATATCAGACATGGCAAGCTGGTTTCTTTTTTTTCTGGCCCCACGCAGCCAGTAAAAAAAAAATAAAATTATATATATATATATATATATATATATATATATATATATATATATATATATATATATATATATATATATATATATATATATATATATATAATAAAACAATCCTAATGTGCTTCCAGCTATGATGCAGCTGATAAGTTTCACTTCCTTACTTGATTCTGCAGCTAAATACTTTCATGAAAATGCTTTACGGAACCCCTTTTTCTTGGATAAAAATGTTGTAAGTTGTAATTTTTACAATAAAAGCTCATGAATATGGCTGCAAAATAGACTGCATTCACATATGTAACTAATCTGAACGCAGCTATACGTTAGATTTTAGAGCGGTTCATGGGCTCTATAGCATATTTAACCATTTGAAGACTGCCCTATAGCAGTTTCATTGCTACAGGCAGTACTGAGCAAAATCTTGTATATTTATACATGATTTTGCACTATCGCCACAGGGGACGTGCGTGTGCACCACCAGTGACTTGCTTCTGCTGTGAACACTCACAGCAGAAGCCAATCTGCGAGTGCCGGTGAACAGATTTACGCCGGCACCCGACGATCGTCAAGCAGGAGAAATAATAGAGCTTTGCCTATGTAAACAAGGCAGAGCTCTGTTCTGACAGATGGGGAAGGTGAAGGATCGTGTGTCCCTGCAAAGCTGGGAACAGGATCCTTCACTTATCCTAGTACAACCACCACCTAGTGTACACCAAACACATAGCTAGGGCACGCATTTAACCCTTTGATTGCTGTAGATGTTAACCCCTTCCTAACCAGTGTCACTACAACGTCAGTGCATGTTTTTAGTACGGATTACTGTATTAGTGTCACTGGTTCACATAAAATGTCAGTTTAAAAATGTCCGCCACAATATCGCAGTGCCGCTATAAGTCGCTGATTGCCGCGATTGCTAGCATAAAATAAAAATTCCAGTATATGTCCCATAGTTTGTAGATGCTATAACTTTTGCTCAAACTAATCAATATACACTTATTAGGATTTTTTTTAACCAAAAATATGCATCAGAATACATTTTGGCCTAAATTTATATTTAATTATTTTTATTGGATAGGTTTTATAGAAAAAAAAATTGTGTTTTTTTCCAAGATTGTCAGTGTTTTTTTTTTTATATACTGCACAAAGTAAAAACTGCAGAGGTGATCAAATACCACAAAAATGTCTATTTGTAGGGAAAAAAGGACATAAATTTCATCTATGTACAGCGTTGCATGACTGCGCAATTGTTAAAGTAACGTAGCCCCATATCACAAAAAGATGGCATGGTCAGGAAGGGGGATCTTCCAGGAGGGAAGGGCGATTAAGAAAAAAAAAAAAATTATATAGGTTTACAGTTTTTCATATAGACCTTTTTTTGCATGCATGTCAACACTTTTACTGTTTCCTGCAAACAGTGTTTACTGTAAATGCACACTAATGGTGTGGAATACCAAAAGGATGTTAGGCACTATCTCCATCCTAGCATCCAAGATGCCCACTGCATCCTCATTCACGCTGTACGTGTGTTCATGTAAGCACAAACATAACATGCGTACAACGTATGAAGATTTTATGTAGGATCTTGCTGCCTGCCATGTGTACGAGCTTACATTTTAAAGTTTTTTATTTTTTAATGAAATGGGTGTGACTCTCCGTAGGAGGAATGCAACCCCCCCCCAAAAGATTTAGTCCTCTTGATTAGGCTCACTTTTCCCATCAGACTGACATGCCTGGTCTAAACAACTTAACTAAGCAGTTATCAGTTCAAACACAACACACTTTAAACTGTGGTTACGGGTGTGTTTTACATCAGTGTGATTGAGAAACTTAAATCTCCAGTGATGGAATTCTGTTGGTATAAATTTTATAAGGCCTAGTACACAGGAAGACAGACTCATACAGCTGACCTTCCAAAATAGTGCATTTCTGGATCATGTTCCCCACTAAGCAAGTGCTTTGTCTCTACAAGGCAAATTGACAGGTTCACCTAAATGCAGACCATCCCAACTGCATGTTACCATATATGTATGATATTTTGTAGTCCAGTAAAGATTAAATGGACAGGGCTGACACTGCTTGTGATTTCAGTGCAGAAAAGACCCGGGGTCATCAGATGGTAAAATTTTTCAAAAGCTAGAACAAAAAAAGTGCATGTATTGCAGAGCTAAACTGTTTTTGTTCCCCCTTATTTTGCCAAAATAAGCATTGGGCTATTAATATGACTACTCAACCATCAGTCTCATGCAATAGCATGAACTACAGATTTTCTTCTGATCATTTTAACATTTTTGCAATTAAAAACTAAGTGTCGCCACAGTTTAAAGTGATGATCCACAAAAAAAAAAAAAAAAAAAATATCTATCTATCAAGCAGACACTCAGCAACAGATCAGCACAAGCATATTAAGTCACTATATGAAGCAAAGCAATGCCATGACAAGCAGCGCACAGCACAGAATAAAGATCAAGAACCATTGAGATGTCTACCAAGGGAGCATTTGGCTCTTCCCATACCCTGCCTCCGTATAGGATTGAAGGAGGTTGAAGGACTCTTCCGGTTACATCCGTCATGTCATCTTTCACCATAATACCGAACTCCCGTACAAATGGATCGGTATTAAAACTTGCACTGCGCATCTGTAAAAATGACAAAAAAATTTAAACATCACAGAGAGAAAACAAAAGAAACAAAAAAAAAAAAGGAAAAAAAAAAAAAAAAAAAAAAAAAAAAAAAAAAAAGGGGGGGGGGGGGGGTGTCAGGGGAAGAGGGAAAGCTCCAAGATTTAAAAAAATAATAAAAAATTGTAGATTTCAGGCAAGCATGATAAAGTTTTAAGGCATCTTTGGACGCATCTTTATGGAAACAAGCAAGCACCTCTTTGACACTGTTTACAGTTGCACAAAAGTACATGTCACCCAATGTATACGTTAGAAAAACAAATAGGAGTGGATGAGAAAAGGATAATGAACTGACAGTACCATATGAGTCATAACAATCAATAATTGGGTCAGTTACATGTTTTTGGAAAAAACGTACAGTGGATTTTTAAGATTTAGAAGGCCAGTGTTGGGCTAGTGATTTTATTTCAAAGTCCAAGTGTAGATTCACAGCATAGGTACCACACTTCATGAAATAAACAAAACAATATCTCTCTTCCCATACAAGGGATAATTTGAGTTAAAGAAATAATAAAATCTTTAAAAAAAAAAAAAAAAACCTCTGGGCCCCTTGCAGGTTACATTTTGAGCAGCCCCATAACAGATATACTGCTACAGGGAAACACTGCTGCGCAAAATCACGTACAGTGAAGGAAATAAGTATTTGCTCCCCTGCTGATTTTGCAGGTTTGCTCACTCACAAAGAAAGGATCAGTCTGAAAATCGAATGGTAGGTGTATTATAACACAGACAGAATAGCAACAAAAAATTCAAAAGAAATGCAAGTCTAGCAAATGATGACTGATTTGCATGTTCAGGAGGGAAATAAGTATTTGATCCCCTTCACAAAACAGGACTTAGTATTTGGTGGCAAATCCCTTGTTTGCAATCACAGAGGTCAGACGTTTCCTGTAGATGGCCACCAGGATTGCACACATCTCAGGAGGGTGTTCCAGCACAATAATGATCCAAAACACACGGCCAAGGCAACAAAGGAGTGGCTCAAGTAGAAGCACATTAAGGTCCTGGAGTGGCCTAGCCAGTCTCCAGACCTTAATCTGATTGAAAATCTGTGGAGGGAAAGTTAGAGTTGCCAAATGTCAGCCACCAAACCTTGATGACTTGGAGAGGATTTGCCAAGAGAAGTGGTCCAAAATCCCTCCTGAGATGTGTGCAAACCTGGCGGCCAACTACAGGAAACATCTGACCTCTGATTGCCAAAATCAAAATCAGGAGATCAAATACTTATTTCCTTCACTGTATATATACACACACGTGATTTTGCATTTCCAGGTAGGGGGCACATGCGCCGCTCTACCCGGACCGCTGTTGGCTGCTGCATATGTCAATCACCGGGTCCCGGCTGGGACTCTGATCATCAGCAGGGCTGAGAAGGGAGAGATCTGTGTGTAAACATCACAGATATCTATCCTGTCTGCACGGACATTCTGCTTTGTATCTCTCTGCAAGCTGCATGTCTTCCAAGTAAATCACAACACAGCAAACATCGTAAAAAAAAAAAACCCACTCAAAAACACTTAACCCTTTGATCACCACAAATGTTAATGCGACGTGGTTGCGGGGCGTTTGCGGAGCGTTAACACCATTTAAACTTCATTATAGGCATTTGTGGGGCGTTTTTAACGCTTGGCAAACGCCGCTAAACAGCGCATGTGGAGCGTTAAAAACCGCTCCGCAAATGCCGGACAAACGCTTGTCAAAAGCTATAGGGGTGTTGGGCAAGAGTTGGAAAAACAGTCAAGCGTGAACGAGCCCTTAGGCCACCAGCCTAACATTGGCCTCCCATTACAAGCACAAAGCCCAACAAACTACCACTTGCTGCATAACAAAATTATCCTAAAACTACTGTACGCAGTTAAGTAATAGAATTAATTAAGCAGTCCTGTACACAACATATAGGTTGTAAACATCAGTCCCCTTCCCTAAATAACTTGATATGCTATGTCTACTGCAGCCATGCAGACACATTATTAAACAGGATTTATATCGCGCCAACAGTTTGCTCAGCGCTTTACAATATAAAGGGAGACAATACAGCAACAATACAGTTCAATACAAGAGGGTTAGGAGGGCCTGATCCTGGGAGCTTACAATCTAAGACATATATTCTGACAGTTTGTATTAAAGAAAGTTAATCCACTATATTTAGCCTACAGTAGAATCAGAACACCCGAGGGAAAAAAAAAAAAACATCAACATCGCAAAGTACTTGCTGAAAGTTCTTTGTGGGAAACAAAGCCCGGTACTGTAAGAACACAGCCGTGAACACTTCACCACCATGTAGCCCACAGAAAAAGTGTAGGGAGCTGCAAGAGATTTACTTGGAAATATAAATAGTAAAGCTAAGGTGGTGATTACCACGACTTCATTCTGCGTGCCCCTCTCACACAGAGGTTCAATGACAATTAGTAGTAAAAACCTGTAATTGTGAAAATGCCTAACAGGCATCCTGTGGTGCTGCACAAAGCCGGCCTGCTAATCTGATAAACTACTGAAGAAAAAAAAAAAAAAAAATCAACCTGGGGAGAACATAAATGCTTGTTCCCTGCCTACATAGCAACTTTAGCAACGTGTGACAGAGCTGTATCACACAGGGGATGGGTACAACTAGTACAGTGCAAAATCCAATTGGTTGTGGGTATTTAATATGCAATTCCTTATTGCAATGCATACACTGAAAAAGGCCCCCATCGAACCACTGGATCTAATTGTAACCAATTCCAACTTTATTTTTTTTTACACATTTATTATTTGCATGGAAAAGGGTTGCCATAAAATAGGAATCAGCAGTCTGAAGCCTCTTACAGGCTTGTGCTAAAAACATGGAGGATTCAGAGAAGGGGAATATGCCCCAAGAGGAAACATCTTGGTCATTTACAAAGGGCTACTAAAAAGCAAGCGAGCAGTGTGTTAGGTTGGTCATTTCAAAGCTCAGCACCCTCTGAAAATGGAGGGCCATGAATAGATCCTGTAAATATTGGATATTTTAATGATTTTATTCAAAGGCACATAAATATACAAACTTTAAAACTAAACTAATCATTCTTTTTTTTCGTTTCTAAAGATCTAAAGGCTCTAAAGAGTGAGGGACACAAGTGATTTGGTAACCGGTAGCAGGCCACAATAACATTAAATGGTACAGAATTTTGACTTTTTTTTTTTTTTTTTTTTTTTGAATAGCAACATTTTCCTCCTTCAGCTGCTGAATGCAGATGGGAGCAAGAGGAGAAGTTTTCAGTGGTTGCAGGAGGAAAATGGAGAGGATCAGTACCTGTGTATGCTGCCACCCCTCCTGTCCAAGTGTAAAATGGAATGCGACAGGGAGGCCACACGGGTCCCCTGGAGCATGGGGTGGGGTCACCACTGCAACCCCTAATACTACACCAATGGTCGTGGTATAAAATCCCAACTATGGTGTTTTACCACCCCCCCTAAACAAATGTAAAAAAAAACCCTTACTGTCCTAAGCCTCCTAATAAGGCTGCTTTCACACTGATGCCTTGTGGTTTACCCAAACTGCGGGTGCACCTGCGGCTTTGTGGGTTAGCTGTGTTTTATATCTTGCGGGCGTGGTGCACTTTCTGAAGGTGCACCATAACTCCCGCATTCAGGAATTTAGGCGCATTTTCAGAAAGCATACCAAACTTGCAGGATAACAGAAATTCACTCTCCTGGTTTGAGGCCGAGGGCCACATCAGAGGGCTCCGAGGGCCACAGCTTGAGCACCCCCTGTTCTACAGTCTAAACAAGTACCAATCTTTCTTTACCCTCCTTGACTGAGAAAAATCCTCTCTTTTTCCCAGCTCCCACCTTCCCAGTTGCTGCAGCTCACTGTGGGAGTGTTTCAGCAATAAGACTGCATTTCACACTTAAAGAGTTTTGTAGCTTGAAGCTCCTAAAAAGCTCAAACTTAACTCAATTGTTCTCTATGGTGCCTGTTCACACGTGATTGCGCACAGACACCATAGAGAATAGATGGGTGTTTTCTAGCTCAAAGCTCCAAAAAACGCTCAAAGTGTGAATGCAGCCTAAGGGTAGTTCTACCAGTCCATGAAAGCAGTGGATAGGACTATATGTGGCCAGGTGCTGCTTGACAAGGATTGAGATTCAGAAGTGACAATGCCTCCTGTAAAAGTTTTACAACCCACCGTAGTGCAAGCAGGAGAGTGGTAACTATGCTCTGAATTCAGGAGCCTTGTTGCCACATCATCACAGAAATCCGCATTAGGTGGACTTCACTGGCAGCATCTAAAAAAGGTATTTGTGGAACTTTGGAAGGTTATAAAACCAACTGCAGATGTACCACTGGCTATCCCCGCTTCAGTCGATCCTGCATACGGCTGCCAGACTCATTCACCTTTCCAACCGCTCCGTCTCCGCCACCCTCCTCTGCCAATCCCTCCACTGGCTTCCGATTGCACAACGGATCAAATTCAAAATCCTAACACTGATGTACAAAGCTGTCCACCATACTGCCCCGAACTACATCACTGACCTAATATCCAAGTACCACCCAGCACCCACACTCCGCTCCTCACAAGACCTCCTTCTCTCTAGTTCCCTGGTCTCCTCCTCCCATGCCCGCCTCCAGGACTTCTCCAGAGTGTCACCCATCCTCTGGAACTCCCTGTCCCAACCCATCAGATTATCACCTACTCTCCTCTCCTTTAGGCGCACCCTGAAAACCCATCTCTTCAGGGAAGCCTACCCCACCCCCTGCTAACCTGCCGACCTCCTCCACTCTTCCTACCACTCCATCCCCCACAGCTATCTCCTCCTGTGCCACCATCCCCTCCCTCCTAGATTGTAAGCTCCAAAGAGCAGGGCCCTCAATCCCCTCATGTTTTGCATTGTATTGGTATTGTTCTGTCACATGTTCTGTCCCTCTTTGTAATGTACAGCGCTGAGCGAACTATTGGCGCTTTATAAATACTGTATAATAATAATAAATAATACTTATAACGAAGTGTTGGTTTACATTTTTTTTTTAATGCAAGGCCACAGGTCTAGCTAAGTAGAACGCATTAATGCTCAGTTACATTGCAGGCTAAAATTTTGTGTGCCAACATTCAAGAAAATGTTGACAAACTAAATATACAGTTTGACTTGAGCAGTTATATTGCCAGCTATCACTTAGGGTTATAGTTCTAGGCGGCAACCAAAAAAAAAAAAAAAGGCAGCATCGGCCTACACAACCGGTTTGGGCTAAAAAAAAAAAAAAATAAAAAAAAAAAAAATGCTGATTGGCAAATATAGAAGACAGGCCATTTTACCATAAGCTTATGTAATGAGGTGTGATTTCTATTTCCTAAGTAATCAGTACAGTTATGTTCAGTAACTAAAGCATGCATGCATCTTCCCCTGAGATTTACACCAAGTTTATGTGCCTATGGTTACACCCTCAAGAGAGAAAGTAGCTCTAGCAGAGAGATTATAAACCTCTTACCAATTTACTGATTTCCTCCTGGCGGTCTGGAGCGGAGCGCGCAGTTGCTCGAATCATAGTGGAGGTTTGATTGTCTGTCAGTTTCTTTATGCACCTTTGTCCTGCCACTATATTGCAAACCTAATGAGAGGACGAGGAAAAATACTGCATAAAAATAATATTCTTTGTAAAGTCACAACATTTTAAACAGATTTGGGGAGGGGTTATATTGTATAATGTATAGGTTTCTATAGTAAGGTTTACATTCTGGGAGAGTAATGGATTAAGTATGATTACATTAGGAAGCATAGCGTGACATTCTGGAAGAATGAAAAACATTTTTCCAAAGAATAGATAAACAGATAAGTTGCCAGCAAAAGGCCACGTTCAATATTTCAAATGCATTAAAGTGGAACCTAAAAAAAAAATTGTGAACAGGCAGTAATTTTAAAGCAGAAGACATGCTTTGCCTATTCTGCATTAAAGTTACTTACCTGCCTGCCACTGTACAGGGAGCCACATATGCGCAGTCCACTGTACAAATTAGTCAATGCCAAACCTGACAACTCCCACGCATGCGTGAGCGTGACAACATTCCCGCCCAGCCAATGACAGAAGCCAGTAGTCCAAAGGTGTTACCGACCCGGTGGCGAGCAGCGGGACACATCACTGGAGGAGAGTATAGATCCACTTTAAGAAATATGGTTATTTGGTTAATCAATACCTGCTATAGTTTTCTGCCCAATTTAAAAACACAACTACAAAGGCCAGGTGTTAGGATCCCCCCCCCCCCCCCCCCGGCACACACACACAATGAATAGCTAAATATGTCTCCTTACCGAGGAAATCATTATGACCACCACTCTCTGTTTACCTTTCATGCATAGTGGCCACTAAAGTGGACAGCTATTTAAAAATCTGTTTTCTTGTATATGCATGGATTCCGATTTTACAGTTGCATACCACCAATTAAGGTGGACACTAGGGAGTCATCCCATAGCCTGCCTTCCACTGGTCAGCCATTGTAAGTGCAAGAAAAAGTGCTCAAAACCAAGGTGCCTGACAGAAGTCCAGAAAGGCTGAGCAACTTAGGCATATCTTGCAATACTTCTATAGGAGAACCTTGGGGGGAGGGGAAAGGTATCAATGCCTAAATAAACAAACACACTAATTAAACTTTCCTAGTACTGATTTTTATCTTGGCTTGAAATCACAATTAATCTGTCCACATTAGACATCATGAATCACTGGTTAAATTTGGTCAGTGGCTAAAAGTCAGGCAGCACTGTTGCCTTGCTGCACTAGGGTCATCGGTTCGAAACCCAACCACAGAACCACCTGCCTGGAGTTTGCATCTTCTCCCTGTGCCTGCGTGGGTTTCCTACGGTCCCCTCCCACACTCCAAAGACATTCTAGTAGGTTATTTGGCTTCTGCCTAAATTGGCCTTCGTATAGGAATGTGAGTTAGGGACCTTAGATTGTATTGTAAATATATATATATATATATATATATTGTTATTTGCTTATGCTATTAGAATGTAATTTGCAGGTTTTTTTGGGGTTTTTTTTTTTTTTTTAGAGAAAACTCTGCAGATAAAGTTCCATTATGTGGGTACGGCCTCATGCACACTGGCCGCTTTGCTAGCTCCCATAGACACCTTTGCTTCTGGCAGCAGTATTTTTGCTTAAACACTAGACGCTTGTAAACACGTGTAACGCGATCAGGCACATCAAGTGTGTTTGGGCATTAATTTAATTGGTCAGGATAATAATAATTTGTCCTGACCACTGAAATGTGGGCTTTTTTCTACATCTAAACATCCCTGCCTCTAAACTCCTCTAAAACACTTACAGGTGATCGGACACATAGGCTAACATGCAGGGGTGTTTAAAAAGAAAAAAAACTCCAAAAAACCCAAAAACCACTAGAAGCCCCTAGAAGCAACGGTAAAGACATACAATGTGAATGGGGCCTAATAGTCATTGTCTTTATATTTTGCAGGGCTCATGTGCAGAGCCTTAACGAGAGGCCTAAAAGGATAATGGAAAAAACACCAACTAAATGGTTTCTTCAGGTGAAACCTCAAAAAGCATGGAGTACACCCGGGTGTGAAAAAAACTCCTTGGGCAATAAAAAGTTAAGAAAAAAAATAAGTCAAATTGTTTCTTTTTGTGCCCAAAGAGAAATAAAACCACCACTACAGGAAAAAAAATCCTGACTGACTTTCATAATTCTCGCATGAAACGTTTAAGTACCAATATGACTTCTAAAGTTGCCAATTGCTTGGGTTTACTTTTCCAAATTTACAAAAGCTGTTTACATTTTCATTTATATAAACCGTGAATTCCAAATACTAAAGCTAGCTAGTAAGAATTTTGCGGTTTTCATACAATGGAAGCATTAAGGAACAGCTACAGAAGATATTAATCTGCATTAGGGCCCATTTACATTCTTGCAGGGCATTAATGCATGTTGTGGTAAGGTAACATATCAAAATCAGTGAGCTGCAACGCCCCAAAACATCAGAAAAATCAGGTGAGTTTGTAACGCAATGCAGAATACGATTATGCCTTGCGACGCATGTGTGTTGCCTTCGTGTACGGCGACACATGCAAGGTGTATTACCACAACTAACAAGGTTCTGCAATGCAGTGAATTTGATTTTAATGTATATTAAATTATTCAGGGTTCCAGACCTATACCCCTATTAGGTTCCCATAGTCCCCCTGAGGAAGACTACAAAGTAAACACCAACACAAAAGTAACACAAAAGTAACCTAAACACACACACACACACACAGAAAAGCAGTCTACATGTGTTCCGGATGCACATTTTTGACACGTTCTAGTTCATTCCCCCCCTCCTTCTCTTCAATTTAAATGGGCACATGCGTGTTCCAGTACATTTCTGTGCAGAAAAAAAAAAAAAATGCAGCAAGTTCTACATTTTTTAGGCAACCGGAACGCACTGGAACTGCACCGATGTGAACTATGACATTGGCAAAATTAAAACCCACAGGAGGGCACCACTTCAACCACATTTGTACCAACTCTAATGGACTAAGTCAAGGAGTATCTAAGCCAAGGCACCCATAGTTTCTCATTTACCATGGCAACCTCATTGACAATAATATCTTTCGATTCAAATGGTGTTTACCTGTTGCAGGACTTTAAATCTGTACAAACAAAAGACAGACATGAACTATGAGAAGCTTACCTCAAGAGGGAGGTATGTGTGTTTCTGCTCCTGCCCGACCTGTAAACATGGAAGATGAGGGTAGCGAAGTACTAGTTTGTGTCTATCCTTGAAGTACTGTGCAACGGTGCATTCCACCGTCTGCCCACTCTCTTGCTGGAGAGGGAATCTATAGGAAGAATAAAACACATAAGATACCGCTAAATAAACTTAAAAAAGGAACTTTAGCAAAAAAAAAAAAAAAAAAAAAAAAAAAAAAAAAAAAAAAAAAAAAAAACAAAAAAAAAAAAAAAAAAAAAAAAAAAAAAAAAATGAAGAACAGCCAGGAATTTTAATGAAGGCACACGATGGTCTCTTCTGCATTAAAGTTACCTTATATGCCTGTCCGTCTTGCATAGTATGCTGCATAGGCGCAATGCTGAATTTGACTGCGCTCCCGTGCACATGTGGGAGTGCCGTCATACCAGCCCAGCCAATGAATGCAGCTGGCGACAGAGACCTGGAAGCCTCCTGCCCAAAGATGTCAGGGAGCTCCGGGATGCCACATCACTACATCCAAGGCAAATATAGTTCCGTTTTAAGATATTAGTAACTGAGAAAATTTTTCGCTTCCAATAATTTTTATTACGGTTTCTGTTTTGTAGGGGGTTTACAAGTGAAATACAGTGTTGTGCACACAAAATGCATAGAAACCATATGCAAACAGGTAAAGATTTTCAGGCAATAAAACGGATTTTAAAATGCATGAAATAAAAGCTGGAGGCCCACACAGGGTTTCTGTCGCCTCCTGGAGAATAAAGGTTGCTGAAGGGATACAACATGGGGAGGAGGAGGAAGAATGCAGTGGGGATAAAGAGTCAGGAGGGAACAGGAAGCAGGGAAGGAGAAGTTGTAAAAGAGGAACACAGAGTGGGAAGACAACAGAAAAAGAAAGGGAGATGGGAATGAGGGGAAAGAAAAAAGTGGGTCTAGGAAAACCTCTTTACATACAAGTTAGCAGCCATGAGAACAACTATACATAGCTCAGCTTTGGAAACTGGGTCAGATTTAATAGATGAAACACTAGCGGTTTATTTAAATGCCTGCATTTGCATCTATTTGTTTCAATAACCAAACAGATTGAAAGTACAATTGGAAAAAGGTATGCACAATAATTGAAATACAAATACGTTCATTTTCAATTGACATCAATTCTGAACAAACAGCAGGTATGAGAAAATGTCAAGGTGACCTTAATCCGACAGAATAAACACACTTACGTTTGATGACTTGCTGGTCGCCTTGTTACATTGCACACTCTGTATTTTCTCTTCATTTGCCCGCAGTGTGTAATTTCTACTTTTAAGCCTGGAAAACCAAAGTAGAATAGTTCATACTGAGATCTGGAGCTCACACACACTAGACCACGTTTTAAATCGAGTGATTCTGTTGTCACGGGATCACTTTGTAATTCGACATAGCTATAAGGGTCCTTTCACACAGACGTTTCGTATGTCCGTTTACGGATGAAAAACAGACACTAATGTACTACTATGGACTAGATGATGTAAATGGATGTTTACATCAGTTAACATCCTTTTATTGAACGGAAGAAACCCCCCCCCAAAAAAAAAAAACCCACGGATGTAAAGCAGACATATGGTCTGTTTTTGCATTGGTAAAGATGTAAAAAAAACTAATGTAAAAATGGATGAGAAACTGTCGTAAACGGATTCATTTTTTCTTTTTGAAAAAACATGACTGAACTGATGAAAATAAAAAACGGAACGCCCGTGTGAAAAGGACCCTTACATTTTTAGAAAGAAAAAAAAAAAAAAAAAAAAAAAAGAAAAAGACAAACAGATCAATTTCCCGTCAGATTTTATATCAGTTTCTTACATCCTTTACCAATGCAAAAAACAGATGCAAAACCAGATCGTATGTCTGTTTACATTTTGTTTGAAGCAAAATAGGGTTTTCTTCTATTAAAAAAAAAAAAAAAAAAAAAAAAAAAAAAAAGATCGTAAACGGATGTGCTGTTTACACCCACTAATCCATAGAAATATACGGGTGTCTGTATTTCATCCATAAACGGACAGATTAAAAAAGGACATATGGAACGCCCATGTGAAAGGGCCCTAAAACTGCATTCACATCTGAACAGATAGATTTTCAGGTGTTTTATTTGAGAGTTTTGCAAGGGTATAGGAGTGTTTTAGAAGTGTCTGGCTAAAATTCAGACAGTAAGGGGTTTATTTACTAAAGCTGGAGAGTCCAAAATCAGACTCCCTTCTGCATAGAAACCAATCAGCTTCTAACCTCAGCTTGTTCAATGAAGCTTTGGCAATGAAACCTGGAAGCTGATTGGTTTCTATGCAGAAGTGAGTCTGATTTTGCACTCTCCAGCTTTAGTAAATAAACCCCTAAGGGTCCTTTCACACGGGTGTTCCGTGGGTCCATTTTTCATCTGTGATGAAAATCGGACATTTACATGGACTAACGGATGTAAATGGATTTGTTTACATTTATTAATGTCTGCATCCGTTAACATTTGGTATTTTTTGAATGGAAGAAAACCCTATTTTTCTTCTTTAAAAAACAAAAAACGTTGATTGTCGCACTGTGCATTAAAAAGGATGTGTTTGGTGTTAGAGGTGCTGTATTTGATCATGCTTCAGATTACTCCCTAAAAATGGATGCAACACGATATATGGTCTAAAAAGCAGATATGCCTTTGCAAACAAAATCTGAAATTTTTTTGCATCATTCACTTCCTGGGTATTAACTATGGAATCTACAATTAGACACGAGGGGTGCACACTAAATCATTACCTGCAAAAGGAAGTCTAAAATTTTACTTGCATCTTACTACAGACCTGAGAAATCAGTGAGCCAATCACACAAGCAGGAAATGACATTTCTGGGGAAGTTCTGTACACCAACTGTGTACAGAACCATCTCAAAGTAATCATACTGCATGTTGCAGAAAAGAACAGTAGCTGCAGAATTAAAAGGAAAGGTACATTTTTAATAACTTTAAATTACAGCATTGCTTGTGTAGGAATAGTGTATGAAATATTTACTATTGTTTTTCTCATGAAAGTAGCGTTACCCTTTAAGGTCCCATTTTAGGCTCAATCAGGTATTAAAACAGGACAAATACATTAAGAAATTCAGTCACAACTTTTTAGGCCTCTGACTCACGCTTATTAGCTGCGTGTAGAAGAACTTATTTAATGCAGTTAAATGAAGACAATGCATCCCTATGGCTCCATAAACGCACTGCGTTTAGCAACTTTTCATAACATACGGTTTTATGTGTTAAGGAAAAAAAAGTTCACAGTGTCCAGGAGTGATGTACCGCACCTAACTGGACTTAAACACATTTAATTGCAGTACAAAGAAAAAAATAAGCAGTTGCATGAGAAAATGCAAACAAATTTACTACCGCAGCAAAAACGCAGCCGCATGTAAACGCACATAATCGGATAAACGCAATGTACAAATACAAGTGATCTCTGTGCAAGGAGTGTAGGAATTTCAAAACAAAAAACATGCATTTACAAGCGGCCTGTGTGAAAGAGACCTTATTGTTTCTTTTACACCATCAAGGCAATAAAAACTGTATATACATTGATCACGGTTACCCAGTTTACTTAGGAATCTGGCAGATTACCTATCCAGTATTCCATTTCAGAAATCAAGGTTTAAGTCCTCTTTGAAATTAGTATCTCGAACTCCAGTCTAAAGTTCTCTTTGCAGGGAACCGATGAATGGTTTAAGTGTGAAGGGGGCAGGCAGTCTTCCACCATTAGCACACACAAACCTGATCCACTGGGACCTTAACCAAGGCTTTAAATTTGGCAGCTAGCTGAACAGAATTATGCAAGACCAAGATACTTACCTTTTATTTCTTTGGTAAACTTAACCCTTTGGGAATCTGTAAGAGGTTTTTGTTGCTCTTCTATGCTTTTAAAATCCAGAACTTCACACATGAACTCTATGACCGGTTGTGCTTTATAAAATGCTGTAGCAGATACTGCAAACAAAAAAAAAAAAACAAAAAAAAAAAACAATTAAGCTATAGGTTTCCACTGATGTATCCCCTCCTTAGTTTGGAGTGATTTCCCCACTTCTTGCTGTCTAACACACAAAAAAACACAAACACACACACCTACCTCACCAAGATTTAACTATTCCCTTCTCTAAGCAAAGCCTAAAGAATATGTAAACGCAACATTTTATATTCCCGATATGTGCCATGTACTTTTATGAAAAAGTTCCTGTTCTCTTTGTATTGTTTCCTTTGCGTGAAATCCCTGGCGTTCCTGCCAATCCTTCTGTTTTCCTATTAAAAACTGACCACACTAGGCAGAAGAGCAGAGCGTGGTCAGTTCTCTAGTTGTGCTGGGAGCTAATCCAATGATCAGGCTTGCGCTGACATGCTGCCTCTGCATAGCCATTCACTGGGAAAGATCAGTGTGCTGCTGTCTCTCCTCCCTGAGCTCATTATGCAGCTGATAACAGAGGGAATGTAACTACTTATAGTAAGGAGAAAAAAAAAAAAAAAAAAAAAAAAAAAAAAAGGTAGTATTTAAAATGTTTTGCCTTTCATTTCTATTTTAAACTGAATGGGTTGTTTTACAAGATGAGGGTTTACATATTCTTTAAAAAACAGAACTACCCTGTATCAGAGCATCGAAAGCCAAAAACACTAATTCCTTTTTAATATTCAAAGCAAACTCCATTATCCATTGAGCGGTCATGCAACGCTGTGCAAAGTGAAATTTATGTCCTTTTTTCCCCCCCAATAGAGCTTTCTTTCGGTGGTATTTGATCACCTGTGCGGTGTATATTTTTAGCACTATATACACAGAGAGAAAAAAAAAAAACCCCCGACAATTTAGAATAAATAAAAGATATATAGATTTATAGGTATATATAGATAGAGCTTTTTTTTATTTTTTTTTTTTTACTTTTTGCTATAAAACATCCATTAAAAAAAAAAATCAAATTTCGTCAAAATGTATTCTGCTAAATGGCTTTGCTTAAAAAAGAAATCCCAATACATGTCAATTAATTGGCTTACGTGAAAGTTAATAGTGTCCTCAAAATGGCAGTATATATACACACGGGCATTCTGACATTGGATAGGACCTAACTGCCACTGACATCCCAATGACACTAGTACAGTGATCTGTGTATTGACCCTGGGCAGGAAGGGGTTAACATCTGGGGCGATCAAAGGGCTAACTGTGTGCTGTGTTTTACATCATGTGCTGTGTGTTTTGCTATGGAAACATGCTGCTGTGTATTTTTCTGCTGTGCAGAGAAATACACAGCAGCATGTCCTTGCTGGCAGGACAGAGACCTGTGTTTACACACAGGTCTCTCCCCTGTCCGTTCTACACGGCGTCGGGTCGGGTGCAGGCAGGGAATCTCCAGCTGGGACCCAGTGATTGACATCCGTAGGCACCAATGGTGGCACGGGTAGGGCGGCGAGCGCGCGCCCTCTACCCAGAAATGCAAATCACATACATATGCACACGATTTTGCACAGCCCTGTAGCAGTAGTTCTACTATAGGGTGGCGGGCAAACAATTAAACTTTGAAAATAAAAGCTAGACGCTGACTGATTTGTCATGCACAGCTGCACCACATTCTGGCTGCTCTGATCTTAATAAATTCCTCTCTCTGTACTTTTGCATGTAACAAATTAAAGAAATTGGACTGTACTAGGCTGTTGCATGCTCTGTATGATTTTGCAGTGTTTAATTTACAAACTACAGAGTACAATTTGATTTTTTATATGGTGCATCAGTACTGTTATACTAGAATGCCTGTAGACTTTCAATGGTAGCCAAGATAAATATACAGTATGAGCCAAACATTGCACGCTTAGAAAGCACCTTGTGCAGCAAGTATATAAACCAGCCATGCCAAACTAGTATCTATGGCTGCATACAGACCCTTAAAAACTTCTCTTCCAGGTAAGAAATTAATTGATCTAAGGTAACTAATAAAGCACAGGGTTGCTTAATTACCTGTCATTCAAACAGGGCAAAGCAATAGATTTGGTTAAATGCACCCTCCCCAGAAGCACCAACTCACCTTCCCTTCATCAGAAAGTGAGGGAAAATTTCACCAAAAAGAAATAAACAGAGCAGCAAAGTGGGAAAGGCTTAGACCCTCAAGATGTTTCCTATTGCTGTATGTGTCCACTTGGAGGAACACAATGAGAGAACTGTATCTACCTAATAAAACAAAAATTGGCTAGAGACTGGCTTTGATTTTTTTAAAATTGTGACTGAAGCTGAAACGGTTTTTGTTTAGCTTGCACTTGTGCAGGGCATCCTAGATGAACAACAAAGGCTTTCGTCAGTTACCAAAACTTTGGTAAGGTGAGTAGAGGGTTACCATAAACAGATAAAGTTCCCACAGCTTACACTCAACAGTAAAATGTGTGAGAATCACTAGGCTAAAGAGATTTGCCTGTCTGGTAAAGTGCGGGAGCATAGCTTAGTGCCTATATAGGACAAAAGCCATGGTATTTGTATAGCATGTACCGGAGATAAAAATGCTTACACATTGGGAGCTGGTTTGTGCCCAAGCAGTACCCTGAAAAATTTACATTTGGTTTTGAATGTCTCCAGAAAAGTAGCTGTAAACTCCAGTGCCTTGAGCCCTCATGCTGTACATTCATCGCAGGCACTGTTGCGTGTGACTACTAGTGCTACGAGATTTAGTGAGGTCACTACCATTCCTCTCTATGTTCTTACCAGAGAGGAAGCTGTGTTTAAGGACTTGCAGAGCAATAATCTCCCTGCTTCGTCTATTACATGGATCTGGATTTCTACACCAGGTATTAGATGACTAATCAACATGGGGAAGAGGGGGTGCAGTGGACAAGCTGTGGCATTAGGAAGCCAAGCCTTGCTTCCCTACCATGATTACCCCCCCCTATACAGACTGTGCAGAACAAGGGCATGTTTACCACTTCCCAACCACCCTATAGCAGCAATACCACTACAGGGCGGCGCACAATCATGTATATATACACACGTGATTTTGCATTTCCGGGTGGGGGGGCGTGCGCCATTTGCGGCCGCGACTGTCAATAACCAGGTCCGGCTGGGGATTACTCGTCGACGCCCGGTGACTGCGAAGGATCTCCAACGGGGAGGAGAATGGTTTGTAAACAAAACAGTTCTCCCTGTCGGCTCGTGCACACTGCTTTGCAGCCATACAAAGCAGTGTGCTTACAGTGGAGCACAAACACACGACCTCATAGTGAAACACCCAGCACAGTGTTAACCTTCTGCTTGCCCCTCCTGTTAATCCCTTCCTGCCCAGTGCCATTAGTACAGTGTGCCAGTCAGTTTTTTTTTAGCACTGATCACTGGATTGGTGTTACTGGGGATGTCAGTAGCAGTTAGTCAGTTCCCTCCCACCCCAAGTGTCAGAATGCCTGCTGCAGTCCCTGCTATAAGTCGTTAATCGCCACCATTACTAGTAAAAATAAAAATCCCAGTATATATACACACACCATTTGTATATGCTATAACTTTCACGTAAACCAATTAATTTACATGTACTGGGATTTTTTTTTTTTTTTTTTTAGCAGACAGAATACGTTCTGGCCTAAATTTAGGACGAAATTGGATTTTACTGGAGATGTTTAATGTCAAAAATAGGTTTTCTTTTTCCCTCAAAATTGTCGTCTTTTTCTTTATAGTGAAAAAATAACAAAAAAAACACCCACGCACAGGCGATCAAATGCCACTGAAAGAAAGCTCAATTTGTGGGGGGGGGGGGGGGGGGGGGGCGGACGTAAATATCATTTGGGTGCAGCGTTGCATGACCGCGCAATTGTCAGTTAAAGTAACACAACGCCATAAAGCAAACAAAAATTGACTTGTCAGGAAGGGAGGTAAATCCTCAGGAGGGCAAGTGGTTAAGTCAGTAAAGAAAAAAAGGATCAGCTGCAGGGAGCCTAGAGGCAGCAATGGTGACTAGTCATTTGCCCTTTACTTTTGAGCACAGCTTCCACACGGACCAATTTAAAAACAGAACTAAAATCTTGATATTAACTATTTTCAATCCTTTTGTTGTATTAGTAAATAGGCAGAACGGTATTTTTTTACTTAATAAAACTTTTTTTTTCTCCCCCACATTTCTTCAGATGGTTTCCAGGCCTAGGCCAGAGAAATTATGTCATACATCTCAGAAGTCTTCATGACCATCTTTTTCCCTTTTATTTGGAGGAGCAGTTTCTCAGCTTAGCACACTCTCCTGCCTGGCATGCCTGCACGGAGGGCAAATGGATTCCAGGAAGTAAATGCTACATGAATCATCTGCCCTTACTCAAGACAGCCCACAACTAGAAATACTAGGGGGTGTTTTTCACAGTGATTTCTCAACAAAATAAAGCATGGAGACATGGATGGATGAGTGAGTTTGCTTTGAATATTAAAAAGGAAATAAAAACAGAAGCATTTTCTGTTTGTGGTGCTCAGATACTGTCTTAGTTCCCCTTAAACTTGAATCTTTGAGTCAGCAAAGACAGCCCATACATTTGACTCGGTGCTTACCATCTATGTTGAGCATCATTTTCCAGAGTGAAGGTCTGACAGATTGGTGGAAGCCAAACCAAACTTCTCTACCTCCACCAAGAGGATTAGCACATCCTTCGGATGCAGTAAAAAAAGATCGACCTACAGGAGTATACCTAGAAATAAAAGAGATTGAATTATTTGATATACAAACTTGTAATTGCAAGAATTATTCATTACAAGTCATGGTTGTCAGCTAGTTTTACAAGACTTAAAACACAAGTTGAAATCTTCCATACCTCATAGAGGGCAAATGTCTCATTACAACATCCAATGCCTGTATAGTCTCAAAAGGGACGCTAGGAAGCCGTCCAGATAATGCATCATGTAGAGCCTGCAAGCTGACGCAAGCCATCCACTTAATGGCAACTTTGAAGATGCGATCCTTGCCTTCCCCGGGCAGCGTGACTTCCAATTCCACCTGCTGTAATGTGTAAGAACAAAAACACGATGATGGTGGGGAAAGCAAAGCGCTTCTCATTTTCTTCATCAGTGAAACAGTTTATTAACTGCTTAGAGCACGGGTGTCAAACTGGCAGCCCTCCAGCTGTTGACAAACTACAGATCCCATGAGGCATTGCAAGATTGACAGTTACAAGCATGACTCTCAAAGGCAGAGGCATGATGAGACTTGTAGTTTCGCAACAGCTGGAGGGCCGCCAGTTTGACACAAGGATTAGAGAAAAATCTCTGAGCACCCCTGGTATTCACTCTATATCTGTCTACAAATTATAAACCGTTCCTTACATTTCTGACTGTGTTGTAATCCCTTATAAACATGTGAAGAATCGCTGATGTCGCTTATGGCCGCTGATGTCACTTAGAATTTTGCATGAGATGAGCCTTAGTGGTCTTTGTCCAAATTCTCACAGACCCCATTATATGGGGATTTCATCATTCATTCGGACACATAAGCACAAACACAGTTAAACTACACACAACAACCTATTATGGGCCCTTATATAAAGAGATTATAAAACAGCCAATTTTTACCAGGCTTATTTCCACTCTGCCACTATATCATAATAGTCAGTGAACCTAAAACCAATATATACTACACAACAAAGGCCTCCAAGTAAAAGGGACCAAAAGCAGGTCATCCAAAAAGACTGTAGTGGCTACTGATCAGACAAAGCTATATTTTAAATAAGGAGGAGTCCCTGCTAGCCATGACGTCAAGCCGCGGATCAAGGAGGTCCGGCAGCCACTCACCTATACCAGCTGGTCAGTGTGTATTTCATTACATCCTTTGTGCACAAGGATTGATTTTACCACGATACTCATGTTAAGTGTTTTCTGTTCTAATCTTCAATAAACTCATTTAATATTTGACCTAAATACTACACTATGGGTATTCCTTTCTGCTCTACATCGAGCACTTAATTCCTCAGGACCACAAGGTGACTATCCCAGGGCCCAGAGTAACATTCAGCTGATCCTGTTTGGAGCCAGGTTTACTATAAGGGACCCCCAGATGCGGCACCCCCCATCACGGAGTCACCCGTTCCGAGCTTCTTTCCATCCACAGCTGGAGTGACCTTTGGTGTATGAGACACAAATGCGCAATTAAATTGTGCTTCCGGTGAGTGCGCAATTTACTCATTTTTCTGCATAACGCCAGACTATATTTGTCACAGGGATCTTATCAAACCTTTCTCAACCCATTTGTGGCTTTTTGACCACCAAACTTTCATTGGACTATCTTTTTATTGTGCATTTATATGGTGAAGTGAAGGCATGTGGGGTATACGCCATTACTTCATCTTTGTTGGGAAGGTCATACACATCGCATGTGGCCTATACTATTTGATAAGATCTAAGGAACTTTGCACCACCTTACAAACACTGGTGCAGTCATATTTTTTAGCGCTGCACTATGTTATGTTGTCAGTTTTAAGGTTTTATGGTTTTCCTTTTTAGTGTATCAGCTGCTGTATTAGTTAGCGCTCACTGAACCCCCTACTAAATTTTAAATAGATCATATGAAGAAAAAAAAAAGTACAAAGTTGTTTTTCCCCATGACCTGTACTGAATGAAAAATAGTTGACCAGTGATTTTTACATATAAAAACAAAAACAAATGATATAAGAAATCTATATAAAAAAATTAGTGTGGCCATAACCGATTTCCCTAATGTATAATGGTATATTTTCAACACACGGATCCATTATGTACCATTTGCAATTTTCATGTGGTGGTTTACTTCGGAATCATTCCCTGCACAGAATCATTTAGGCGTCCGGACATTTTTTGATTGTACGTCTTGACGATTTGTTTGCAGTTATAAGTAAAAATCACTGGACAACTATTGTTGATTCAGTGAAGGTGAGGTCATGGAAAATCATGTAATTTAATAAATAAATAAATAAATAAAAAAAAAAAAAAAAAAAGTACACATTTAAAAAAGTTAACCAATTAAAATTTTGCTTTGTACTATCCCCACCACTACAGTCATTTTAGGTAACCTGCTTACTTGGAGGCCTTTGTTGTGTACTATAATGGGCCCTTGTTTTTATGAGTACTTCTACATCAGTACCACTGTTCTCCTCCACTACAGCAACCAATGGAAGCTGAGACAGCAAGTCAAAATTATGCTGTATGTCCTGCTGTCCCTAAACTCCACTTTACCACAGTTGGGTTGAACGTGGTGTAGAAAGCTAAATTGTCACTTTAGGAAACAAGAGCTCTATGTTAAAAGTTTAAAGGAATGGCACTTCCAAGTTGTTCAAAAACAATCATTGGTGGTCGTTAGAAATATGCTCTGTGTGTGAATGAGTCTTGGTGCTCATTCATAAGGTGCTATGTCCCAAAAATTGTGAACAGGCTGTTATTTATGTGCTGCTGCAGCCATTGTGCGCACACAGTCTACTCTACAAACTGTGGCCCCCGAGGCAAGATACTTTGCATCCAGCCCTTGAAACGCTTTCCCTCCGACACCAATGAGGGGGCTATTTCTTTTACGGACACCATGGATGGGCATTCCTCCCACTCATACAAACAATGAAGCACTACTTCTCCCACTAAAACCAATGAAGCATTATTTAATCCCACTGAGGCATTTTCTACTCCGACTGGCCAAGTTCGGCCCTCCTAAAGGCCAGTAAAGTTTGGAGACCCCTGCTCTGTACAGCTGTACACACAGTAGCAGCTCCCAATTTGACAGGTATGAGGCCCCAGGGCTGCCTGCCCGCCAGTCAAATTAGGCCCAGCATCTGTGTCCGTAGGACCACTGCATCTTTGGAATAACAACTACCTGCAATTTAAGCTGCATAAACCAATGGATAATGCAAGTAGGGGCAACAGCACTAGCGCAAAACTAGTCCATAATTAAGTTATAACTTTTTACCATTTTATATTTTTTTACAATTTTATACATTTTTTTTCTTACAGTAAAAAAAAGGTAATGCAATAAACGCTTTTTAAATGTATAGAGAAGTCACCCTGAATAGAAAGACAAAGCAATCTGCAGACTGGTGTGTGCCATGTATTACAACCACAGCAAAGGCAGACAAACCTATTTTTAGCGAACACAACTACTTCAAGGTTTAGGCGCTTACTTTGTCTCTGGCGATTGGAAGAGGCATTGCAGTGTACAGGTTCTTCCTGCCATCGAATACTGGTTTACGATCTCCAAAGATCTGAGCCTTGAAATGCAGGACCATATGTTCAACTATTTCCCTACAAAGAAAAACAAACTGACATTAGGGTCAGTTTTTACATGGCAGAAAGAATGTAAAGCGGACCCATGCCCACATTTTACTATGCAACATGCAATATTAATCTCATTTAACTCAGTAGGGTATGATCAAAGGGAGAAAGCTGCGTTCCCTACAGGGTTGGTTACAAGATCCAAATCCTAGGCATCTGGACATGTGATCTTTGTAACGGGTAGGATTAGTGCTCTCCCCCCTTTTAGCAGAAGTCATGTGGCTCAATATCTGGGCTTTTTAAAAAAATAATCTCAGCAAAGATGTTATTTTTTTTACCACCGTTTATTCAAATGTAAAGTTTAAAATGTTTGCTAGATATACACTATATTGCAAAAAGTATTGGTCGGCCGGCCTTTCCACGCACATGGACTTTAATGGCCCCCCAGTCTTAGTCCGTAGGGTTCAATATTGAGTTGGCCCCGCCCTTTGCACCTATAACAGCTTCAACTCTTCTGGAAGGCCGTCCACAAGGTTTAGGAGGGTGTCTATGGGAAGGTTGGACCATTCTTCCAGAAGCACATTTGTCAGGTCAGGCACTGATGTCGGGGGAGGAGGCCTGGCTCACAGTCTACGCTCCAATTCATCCCAAAGGTGTTCTATGGGGTTGAGGTCAGGACTCTGTGCAGGTCAGTGAAGTTCCTCCACACCAAACTGGCTCCTCCATGTCTTTATGGACCTTGCTTTGTGCACTGGTGTGCAGTCATGTTGGAACAGGAAGGGGCCATCCCCAAACTCTTCCCACAAAGTTGGGAGCATGAAATTGTCCAAAATGTCTTGGTATGCTGACGCCTTAAGAGTTCCCTTCACTGGAACTAGGGGGCCAAACCCAACCTCTGAAAAACAACCCCACACCATAATCTCCCCTCCACCAAACTTTAAACAATGCAGTCAGGCAAGTACCGTTCTCCTGGCAACCGCCAAACCCAGACACGTCCATCGGATTGCCAGACAGAGAAGTGTGATTGGTCACTCCAGAGAACACGTCTCCTCTGCTCTAGAGTCCAGTGGCGGTGTGCTTTCACCACGGCAACCGAAGCTTTGCATTGCACTTGGTGATGGAAGGCTTGGATGCAGCTGCTCGACCATGGAAACCCATTCCATGAAGCTCTCTACGCACTGTTGTTGGGCTCATCTGAAGGCCACACCAAGTTTGGAGGTCTTTAGCTATTGACTCTGCAGACAGTTGGTGACTTCTGCGCACTGTGCGCTTCAGCATGCGCTGACCCCGCTCTGTGATGTGACGTGGCCTACCACTTGGTGGCCGAGTTGCTGTTGTTCCCAGTTGCTTCCACTTTGTTATAATCCCACTAACAGTTGAGCGTGGAATATTTAGTAGCCAGGAAATGTCACGGATGGACTTATTGCCCAGGTGGCAACCTATCACAGGACCACGCTTGGAGTCACTGAGCTCCTGAGAGCAACCCATTCTTTCACATTTGTAGAAGCAGTCTGCATTCCTAGGGGCTTGATTGTATACACCTGTGGCCATGGAGGGGATTGGAATACCTGAATTGAATGAATTGGAGGGCGGGCCCAATATGTTTTGGCAATATAGTGTAGTTTCACATTTTAAAGTTGTTCAGGTGAACCCAAGGCCTTCACCTGCTTGGATGGCCCAGGCACCTCAATGTAACTATTTAAAGTGATCAATTTTGTTTCTAAATAACAAATGTTATACTTACCTGCTCTGTGCAATGGTTTTGCACAGAGCAGCGAATCTCAAGTCCCCTGCCAGCACTCTCTGCTGCTCCTCTTCTCCATGTGCCACCATAAGAAGCTGCCTCCTACAGTGGTACACATGCTTGCGGGCTCAATACAAAAGGTGGATTGTGTGTATATGGACACAGTGTGGCTTGACACCACACACTCCTCACTGGATATGATTGACAGCAACAGGAGCCAAAGCATCCCGCTGCTACCTCCATGTCCAATGAGATGAGTTGAGACAGCAAATCACTGCTCTCAGGCACAGCGCTGAATTGAGAACGGGCTCAGCTAAGTAATTAGGGGGGAAGCCAAAACAGGTTTTTTTTACCTTAATGCAGAGAAAGCATTTAAAAAAAAGGTTTTAACAACCACTCTAAATGTTAAACTACATTGCATCTGCATGTAGATTTGTACTCCATTTTGGAAGATGCAAGGAGAGGGTAGCTATGCTTGTATACACAAGGAAGGCATGGAGAACAAATAAAGGCACCCTGAGAACAGCAAAAACATGCTTGCATTTGAGAACACAAAAGAAAGACAAAAAAGTAAAATTCTCATTTTTATTTTTTCTTTAATAATGTGAGTTTACAGCCACTTTAAAGTCCTATTAGTGACTGGTTTTCAATTGGCTAAAACAAACACTCAAGCCTGAATACGCCTGCAAAACCCACTTTGTGTTGAAGCTTTTTCTTGCTTAAAAAGGATAACTTGACCTTTAGTAATATGTTACACTCATATTCAGGGAGTAACATGTTACAGACTGGCCCCACTCGACATTGTGACAGCTAGCGGGAGATCATTTACCCCTCGCAAGCGGTCACAATTTAAAAAAAAAAAAAAAAAACACACACACAAAAACAACACACACACACACACACACACACACACAGCCTTGCAGAGCTCCGCCTTCCCAGCTAGCTTCATTCATTCTCATTGCCGGCTTGTAGGTCTCAATGAACTACCACAGCGCTATGAAGCACGATAGTTCAAAATCTTCCTGTCAGTATCTGCCTGCCCGTACGGGATTTACAGGGACACTGACAGGTCTGCAGGAGCCCTGCTGACTGTTGGTGCAATGCTTTAGAGGCTCAAAAAAATAAAATGCACATTTTTGTACCTGCAGAAAAAAAAAAAATGTGCATTTATTGTTTGTTAAAAGGTGAACTTATCCTTTAGGAATATTGAAATGTTTGAATGTCCATAGTCTGGGGCACAGGTAAAGATGAAGGCCCCATTCACATCCGAGCAATTTGTAGCTTGAAGCTCCAAAAAACACTTAAGAAAAAAAAAAAAAAAAGTTAGTCTCAATGAAGATGGTTCACATCTCCACTCCTAGTCACCTGAAGCTCAAAACATGTTCGAGCTTTTTTTGTCACTCAAATCAGGCAGATTTGCACATTTTTAATTCCATAGCAATGAATGGTAACGCACGATTCGCATGTTTTTCTGCTCAAATAAAAAATGTTAAAACTTTTTTCTATATTAAGGAGGAGGAAGAGAATGTACAATATATATGTAGAGCGCTGCATAAATTGACGGCGCTATATAAGTACCTGAAATAAATAAATAAAACTCCAGCTCACATTTAAGCAGTTAGGCTACGTTCACACTAGCATTGTGTTCAGGCAGCAGAGAGGCGTTTGGGAAGCGTTTTTCCCGCTTCCCTAACGCCTCTGCCAATTCTGCACATTACAGCACATGGTGCTGTTCTAACGGGAGCGTTTGCGTTGCGGCAAAACGGACGCCTCTGGTCGAGTCAGGAGGCGTTGAAGCCTCCTATTCTCGTCTATGGTGCCGCTCCGCAAACGCCCGGCCGGCATTTGCGACGCGGTTGCGGGGCATTTGCGGAGCAGTAACACCACTCAAACTGCATTATAGGCATTTGTGGGGCGTTATTAACGCTCGGCAAACACCTAGCAACCGCCGCTAAACCGCGCCTGTGGCGCTTGCCAAGCGTTAAAAAACGCTCCACAAACGCCGGACCAACGCTTGCCAAACGCTATAGGGGCGTTTGGCAAGCGTTGGTAAAACAGCCAAGTGTGAACGAGCCCTTAGACAGTTTTTTTTTTTTTCTGTTGGGATAAAGGTTTTACATAAATAAGAACTGATAATTGTAAGCACCCCTGTAAGTGGTAAATGGTTTGTCTCATACATGCACTTGCAGGAGAGCTTCTGTTGAAAAGCAACAGACTTACTGGCTGGATCACCAGATGAAAATAGAAGAAAGCCTAAGAAGGAAAACTAATGCAGCGATCACATCTAAGAATCGGTAAGCCACAATACAATAAAAATGTTTGATTGTGGATTTAATACTGCTTTAAAGTCCCCGTGTTGTATATGATGATGCGATGGCTCTGCACACAGACTGAAGAGAGGAATCAGTTAAGTGACACAGCCTCTTGTGAAGCCCTCTAGCCATAGCAAGAAAAGTTTCAGGTCAGTGATGAAAGTATTCATTATTGCTTCCAAGAGGCAGTGAAACACCTGTTAAATTTTAATCAGAGTTGATCAGATATCAGTAAAAATGTCAGACGACACATACGGCTGCATGTCAGTCACTGGAAGAAACTTGTTTCTATCTGCATGCAATAAGAGGATTTAAAACAAATGTTCATACATTGCAGAGAGTGAGATCTGTGATCTCATTATTTGGCTAGAAGTGAATGTCTAAGCTACTACCATTGATTGATTGTGCTTGCATTTAAAATATATTTGCCGATATGTGCAGCTCATTTATTTAACCACAGAAATACCAGGGAATTTCACCGCCTTCCTGCCCAGGCCAAATTTTCAGCTTTGAACACCGTCACACTTTGAATGACAATTGCGCAGTCATGCAACACTGTACCCAATTGAAAATGTATCTTTTTTGAGACAGATAGAGCAAGCTTTCTTTTGGCGGTATTTAACCACTTTTTTTCCAAAATTTTTCGGTCTTTAGTTTAGCAAAAATGTTTTTTAAAAAAGTGTGAAAATAAGTAAATTTTCTTCTTCACTGATGTGCGCTGATGAGGCTGCATTAATGGACACTGATGAGGCAGTACTGATATGCTGCACTGATGGACATGGACTGGCATGGATAACCAGGGTCCTGATCAGTGTGCATGTCCCCTGTCAAAGGAAACCCAGTCATGGGCTTTCCTTTCCTCATGCTGTGACAGCGCTGAGGAAAGGAAATGCCGATAACCGGAATTTGTTTACATGTGGTCAGCTGTGATTGGACACTGCTGATCACATGATAAAGAGCCAAGGTCATTGACTCTTAACCCCGATCAGTGATGCACTGTGTCCGAGAGAGACAGCTCACCACTGATATTAGCACTGCGTGCCCACAGGGGACACTCACAAGCGAAGTGACCGGGATGTCGTCATATGACATCCACCTGGAGGGACGGAAGGCCTGCCCGACCCTCAACCTGCCATTGGCCGGGTGGGAACAAGTTAAAGTTTGTGTACTCAAGCTGGCCACACCAGTTTGTTAATTAGGAACCAAGTCCCCTTCACTGCTGCCATCTCATCTTTGATGGTTCAAGACCTGGCAGAGCCCTGAAGCACATCAGCGCATTCAGAGAGCAAACCGAGGTCCTAGAACGCCTAATTGTGCAGTCTTCGCACACATACAGATCTGCCTAAGGCCTCTGCTGGGTGCTGAAGCCGTTCGGCACATATGCACACACACGTGGATCAAGCACAATGCCATTCTCAGCTAGCTGAGAAAGGAGGAAATGCTGCCCTACAGCACAAAAAAGTGAAAAATACTGAAGGAAAAAAATAACACATGCTGGATTAGGGTGTGATGGAAGCAGCCATTTCTCGATCTGTGCCATATATCAGCTGTATTGCAGGTAAACAGTTGTATACAGTGAAGGTGAGCCTATTTCATGGGATAGGTGCTTCCATCAAAGCTTCCTCACAAAGACAAATGGCTTGTAAATAATTTCTTGCTAAGACAGGTAAAAAGTAGTAAAAACAGGTCAATCACAGATCCACAAACTATTTAAAAGTACTTGTCTAGCTATGAATAAAGACAAAATCAAATCAGGTAACTCAAACTGAGCAATTAAATTCCCAAGTCACAGTAGTTATAAGGAAATTGGAATCCTGTGTGCTTCTGTCATTCAGGATGTATAGCAGATCAATAAGTCTTACCTGTTCACCCTCCTGGGACATTTTTCTGGCTTGATATCGATTTCATAATGATAAATCTCTATTTTGGGAATGTCCATCTCAAAGAAGTTTGCTTGCAGCTTGATGGTCCTCCCTGAGGTGCCAAAATCAGGTCTCGATGGAGGCTTGAAAGTAAACGCCGGCAGGGGCGGCGGTGCAACCACTGCAAATAAAAACAAGCTATTACTTTGTGGATTTTTAACATAGGATATTACAGAAGCATCTTACTCAAATGTTAATAGTGTAAAACAGGGGTCTCCAAACTTTCTCAGCAAAGGGCCAGTTTACGGTCTTTCATGCTTTAGGAGGGCCAGACTGTGGCCGGTGGGAGTAGAAAATGATCTGGCATCAGTGCCTCTTCCTTGATTTTAAATGGAGGACATCAGTGGTGTCAGAAGGGTGGCAAGGCGGCCCATCGGTGGTGTCAGAAGGGTGGCAAGGCGGCCCATCGGTGGCGTCAGAAGGGTGGCAAGGCGGCCCATCGGTGGCGTCAGAAGGGTGGCAAGGCAAGGTGGCGTCAGAAGGGTGGCAAGGCGGCCCATCGGTGGCGTCAGAAGGGTGGCAAGGCGGCCCATCGGTGGCGTCAGAAGGGTGGCAAGGCGGCCCATCGGTGGCGTCAGAAGGGTGGCAAGGCGGCCCATCGGTGGCGTCAGAAGGGTGGCAAGGCGGCCCATCGGTGGCGTCAGAAGGGTGGCAAGGCGGCCCATCGGTGGCGTCAGAAGGGTGGCAAGGCGGCCCATCGGTGGCGTCAGAAGGGTGGCAAGGCGGCCCATCGGTGGCGTCAGAAGGGTGGCAAGGCGGCCCATCGGTGGCGTCAGAAGGGTGGCAAGGCGGCCCATCGGTGGCGTCAGAAGGGTGGCAAGGCGGCCCATCGGTGGCGTCAGAAGGGTGGCAAGGCGGCCCATCGGTGGTCAGTTGGTGGAATGGCGCCCCCAGGGCCAGATAAAGGCAAGAAAAGGAACACGTCCGGCCCTTGGGCTGCAGTTTGGAGACCACTGGCCTAAAGATAGGGTCTGTATAGATGCTGATACCCAAAGTTCATTAGAGGAAACCTTGCCCCAATGGTTTCTGTTCACATACTCGACACTCATTTCCACAGGCCCAAACATGGATAAGTTCATTTCAAGTGGTGCCTTTCTTTGAGTGTAGCAGAAAGCCATGCAATGCAAAGCAGAGATGCCAAATTCAATGGATTGAAAGGATTACAGCTCTATCAAGGTCACACAAAGTAATATCCATTTTATAGTAACATGATGACCCATAACTGATCCTTACCTCAAAGTCCTGCAACATCCTGCATCACTTTATATGAATAAGAATACCTCTAGAAAACACGGTTTCATATCATTTCATATATTTTTTAGCTTTGGTGATATTTAGGATAACACTTACACTAACTTGTGCATCCTTCTATAACTTTACCACACTTCTATTGGGCCGTATGCACCAGTCATTTCAATTGCACACACAAAGGTTAAGGCGTTCTTTGAAAAGCAAAACGGTTCAACCAGGTCACAGAACACCTATTGCCTCATAAGGGTAACCTGAGAAATTCTGATTTTTACTCTAGAATGGCATGTGGCTGAAAGGCAGTTTGAGCCTATTAAGTGGACCTAAATTAAAAAAAAAGTAAATACTTGCTCATGTGAAACATTTAGAATTGACAATTGTCCCAGTCAGTAACCCAAAAATGTGTGTAGCTCTGTGCCTTGAGCCTCAGCCATTTATTTGCACCTTGAGAGCATTTCGCATTTCAATAGATTTTGATTAATTTTTTGAAAGGTCACCACTGTTATGCTCCCTGTTCTCCTTGCTGGAGAGGAAGCTGTACTTGAGGAGCTGCAGTGCACGGATCTTGCTACTTCAGGAATTTAATTGCTGCACCTTCCCTGCTGTGCCATCATTACTTCATCAATTATTGGATCACCAGTCATCAAGAGGGCTGCTCTGACACAAGGAGGCAAAGCCTTGTTATTCTACCAAGATGGGTGCCTCCACACATCCAGTGCAGAACGCAATACAAGCTAGCAATGGGAAAAGACCAGAAAACAGGAAACCTCTTGGTAAATCTTTTAAAGTGATATTAAAGCTTCCATTTTTGTTTTTTAATTTAAAGTGGTTGTAAACGTCAGACATGAAATATGAACAAAGCACATCCCTCTATAATGTGTACGTGGCTCAATTAAGTGTCATTTCTGTCTGCTGCTTCATTCCTCTGCCAACAGCAGTTCTCTGTTTGCCAAAATAGGAAGTGGTTTCCTATGGTGGCACACATGCAGGTGTGCTCCCGAGTCCTTCTGTCCGTGCCTAACGACACATACTGCGGGGCTCTGCTCCTCCCACTGCTCCCTCCCCATAGGATTTGGTTGACAGGAGTGGGAGCCAATGGTTGCCTCTGCCATCAACCTGCCCAGTGAGGAGACATAGCCGAAGAGCCGCTGCTCTCATGCACGTTGTTGGATAGAATAGGATGCATTAAAGGTAAACAACACACACAAAAAAAAAAAAAAACACTTTAAAAAGTAGTAAGGGTTTTTCCCCCCCCCCCAGTCATGCTTACCTAGGTGGATATAGAATCAGTCCGATGGTGCATCTGTCCCCTGCTGGCTCTAAGTGTGAGAACTCAGTGATCCCATGACCGCTGATCACAAAGTTCTCACAGCCGCTCTGAGCAGAGAGCGGTAACTATCAGTCATCGCTCTCTGCTTTGTGATCCCAACGCTCACTGAAGCGCGGAGGGAGCAGCTGGCTGAGGATCGCAGAAGCTCGCTGGAGGCTGAGCCAGGTGCCGCTCCAGACTCTGGGGTGGATACCAGCTTTTAAGTTGGGATTCTTCCACTAGCCTGGTCCGGTTGAGTGACTTCAGCCTGCTGTCAGCTGAAAATGGGTTACAGGAGTGTAGAACTGCAGTCCTTTTATCTACAAGAAAAGTACAGCCACAAGAGCTTTCTCCTTTAAGGCTTTAGACCCACTTTAACTAGCCTTTTGTCCTCAGGTTGCCTTCAGAACATACCACCTTTAAGGGGAAGCCTAATAGTGAAAAAGGTCTCTGTATTCTTGAAGAAGCCCCGCTAAAATCAGGGATGTGGAATTTATATTGCCTGACGCCCAGGACATGTAGTTCCAGGAGCTGGGCAGGTAGTTTTTTTTTTTTTTTAAATTTACCTGTCAGGTGGAAGCACTCAAGCAGCAGTGCTGCTGTGTATTGCTTCCACACAGCCCAGTGCCAGCCTCCGCCCCCCTTGTGTGAACCACCCCCTGATGTATCCCGGGCTCCACTTGCCCATCTGCGGGCCCGACCACTTCACCGACATCGGCTAGAGGGGAGGGAGTAGAGCGGACATATCCCCTCCCCTTCCAGGACCCCATTGACAGATTCCCGGCCATAGATGCCAGAAAAGAAGGTAATGTAATGTGATGTGCACTGCATTACATTCAGTGGAGCACAAGGAAGCCCCTTTTGGTATTAAAAGCCTCAGACATTCCGAAAAGCACCTGAGATTTAATTACGGTTTTGGTAAATTTTTTTTATCTGGACAAGTAGATTTTCATGAGGGACAAGTAGATTGGGGCACCAATTTAGCCCCTGGACAAGTATTTTTTTTCAAAAATTTCTACACCCCTGTAAAATGGAGCCCACTGTTTTGTTTTTTTAATGATTCCTCAAGACAGATACCAAATATACAATATTTAAAGTTTTCCTCCTCTATAAAGAATCCAAATCTGACATCCGAAAAACAGATTTTCCAACAAGTTAGAAAAACTGAAAATGACTTGTAAAAGGTCGATTTTGCCACAGCATCCAGTCAAGCAATACTAATGCAAGCTAAGGCTACTTTCACACTAGCCTTGTGTGCAGCTGAGAGGCGGCTGCATAGTATATTCTCGTCTATGGTGCCGCTCCGCATTTGGCTCAAATGTGACTAGCACTAACAGCCAAAAGCAATTCGATTTTCAGGATCACCTCTGAAGACTTCAGTACACTTGTGTAAAAAAAATAAGAAAAAACAAAAAACAAATCCCTCATGCGGGAGCGTTGGACGAGCTGTTAAAAACGCTGCGGCTAAGAACACCGGACAACGAATTTTTTGGCAAATCTACTCTTTACCAAACCAATCCCCCCCCCCCCATCATCACAATGAGTGTGTTTGAGCATTGTGATACACAATGCAAATGCGAAAACTACACAATACCTATAAAAAACACAAAGGATTCTGTAACCAGCTGAAACAGGACATAGGAACAAGGGTAGAATGATGCATTAGCATTTTCTTGTTATGCTTATGTACTGATGATGTGCAAAACAATGTTTTCACTATTCTGGATTTTAAACTTCAAAAGGGTGCTAGTGAAAAGAGAAAAAGGAATTAAAAGTTTTCATCATGCAGGTGGTAATCCTACTTACAAAAGCCTATGGGGGGTGGGGGGGGGGGGGGGAAGAGGACCCTGCTGGTTAGTCTCTTTATTCAAGATGATCAACTTGTGGACAGACTTACAGTTCAGCGAATTTTTTAAATATTTTTTCATATTCAATGTATTTTTTTTTTTTTTAACCACTAGCCTACAGGGCACTTATACCCCCTTCCTGCCCAGGCCAATTTCCAGCTTTCAGCGCTGTCGCACTTTAAGTGACAATTGCGCGGTCATGCAACACTGTACCCATATGATATTTTTATCATTTTGTGTGACAGATAAAGCTTTATTTTGGTGGTATTTATTCACCTCTGGGTTTATTTTTTCTTAAACCAAAAACCACTGAAAATTTTAGGGGGGGGGGGGGGGGGGGGGGGGGGGAAGAAAAAAAAAAAAAAAAAAAAAAGTGATTTTTCTCCTTCACTGATGTGCGCTAATGAGGCTGCACTGATAGGTGGCACTGATGGGCATTGACAGGCATCACTGATACATGGCACTGACAGGCGGCTCAGATGGGCACTGATACGTGGCATTGATGTGCACTGGTAGGCACTGATGAGCACTGATAGGTGGCACTGCTGGGGCTTCACTGATCATCAGGGCACACTGATCATCAGTGCCCTGATGATCAGTCTACATGTCCCCTCCGCGAAAAGCAGATTACCGGCTCTCCCTCCTCTGTCAGCGTGACAGCTTGAGAGGAGAGAAATGCCGATAACCGGCATTTCCCTTTTTACATGTGATC